TAGGGAAAACTTAACACAGTTACCACAGGGCTGAGCCTTTGTTTAGATAGGGACATGGGGTTTTTAGTCAAGGTAATGTAGTTAGTGAGACATAGATTTTGTTGGTATTAAAGAGAGCTGAAAATGTAGAGGATATGAAACTAGTTTTCTTGTCCGTGGTCAGTTTTCACCGCTGCAGTGGGGCTGGAATACGCACATTTTGCTTTAGGATCCGTTTCTGCCTAATTTTCACTTCTAGAGGTGTGGTCGCTCTTTCAAATCAGTTCATATTCCTCTCCCTCAATTTAAGGACACACACATACAAAATGGCTAAATCAAATCAAATCAATAATAATAATATCAAGCATTAAACCAAATAAAATGGTTTTATCCCATCATAAAAAATGAAGTACTTTTCCAGTGTAGTGAAAATATACTCTCCTAAAGATGTGTTAATGATTTTGGGAACAAGTGTCAGTTCCCTTGGATGTGTAACAGTCATTCAAAACAAAAAAGCTGTTCTATTAACAATTACAAAAAGCTACAGTCTTCACAGTGGAGCAGCTGGAGCCAGATAATGGTTGAAATTCTTGATTTAAAAAAAATAACTTAAATGATCGTCACATTAATTACCAATCAATCGTCTGTGGCCTCACCAATCAGTTGATCGACTGATCTCTTCAGTTCTGCAGACGGTTCACTTGTAATTAGGCAGTGCTTGATTTAATGCACCAGAGCAGCCACCCTGAATGCACAGCATCAGCATTACACCTGACTGAGTATAATTAATTGTTGAAGCTAAAATTGTGATTATTATATGACTAATTGTATCACAGTTGTAGACTAATTAAACCTTTCAATGGAAGAAGGAAATGTGGGGTTGTTTATATTACAAGTATGTTGCCCAGAATACAGTCTAACTTATGCAATTTTTGAATGTTGATTTGACATAACTGCACAAAAGGAGAGTGACAAGCTGCTGTATATTCTTGAATATTATCATCAACTTTATTTATATAGCACATTTAACACAGCAACAGCTGACTAAAGTGCTTAACACAAAACACAACAATAAAACAAAATTACAATTAAACAACCACTCATCATTAAACAAAAAACCTCAACAAAACAAAGCCTCATACTGGATCAAATGCCAAAAGATACAGATGAGTTTTCAAATACACTGTAAAAGTGGACAACGAGGGGGGCCTGCCTGATGTATAGGGGCAATGCATTCCACAACCTTGTAGCCCCCACAGCAAAAGCCCTGTCCCCCCCTAAGTCTCTGCCTAGCCCTCGGTATCTCCAGAAGCAGCTGATCAGCTGATCTGAGGCACCGAGAAGGACTATAGGGATGCAACAAATCTGTAAGATAAGAGGGGCCCAAACCATTTAAAGACTTATCAACAAATAAAAGAATCTTAAAATGAATTCTAAAATACACCGGCAGCCAGTGAAGAGAAGCCAAAATGCGAGTGATGCGCTCCCCTTTGCACCCCCCAACCAGTAAATGAGCAGCCGCGTTTTGAACTCTCTGAAGACGGGCAAGAGATGTCTGACTAAGCCCAAAATAGAGCACATTAGAATAATCCAGGCGAGATGTAATAAATGCATTTATTGCTGTCTTAAAGTGCTGCCACGAAAGAAAAGGCTTTACCTTCGCCAGCTGTCGAAGGTGAAAAAACTAGCCCTTACAACCGCATTAACTTGATCTTCCACTCTAAAATTAGAATCTATTTTGACACCTAGGCTTGTAACAGTTGACTGCACATACTGCTGCAAGCAACCCAGATCAACTGGGGGAGAGTCACCAAAATTAATTGGGCCAAACACTATAACCTCAGTTTTCGTATCATTTAGTTTTAATAAATTCAGAGCCATCCAGTTCTTAATGTCTTCGAAACATGACTAATGATACAACCGATGAGGTATCCCTTCCCCTCATTGGTATGTACATCTGCACATCATCTGCATAAAAGTGAAAAGAAAAACCATGTTTTCTAAAAACACAACCAAGAGGAAGTAAATATAAAGAGAAAAGCAGGGGCCCCAAAACTGAGCCCTGTGGAACCCCAGATACCAACAGGGTTGAATGAGGACTCCACACCAGCAAACCCGACAGACATGGTCCTATCCGACAAATAAGACCTGAACCACTCTAAGGCAGTACCACGGATGCCCACTAGCTCCTTAAGTCGAGATATTAGGATATCATGGTCAATCGTGTCAAAAGCAGCGGTCAGATCTAGAAGAATCACATAGCCACCAGCATCTGTTGCCAGGTAAATATCGTTAAAAACCTTTAACAACGCTGACTCTGTACTATGCTGAGTTTTAAAACCAGATTGAAAAACCTCCAATACATTATGCTCATCTAAAAAAGACTTCAATTGTATATAAACCACTTTCTCTAGTACTTTTGAAATAAAAGACATAACAGTATATATCAGAACAGTTCTACTGTAGATCTACTATCTACTATAACCTACTGTGCAACACTGCCTCTTATAATTCTCATGCAGGAATGTCACTAGACACTCAAGTAGCTCAGGCGGTGTTTAACCGGACTAAGCCTGTGACAAGTTTCTTCAGCTCATGCAGAGGTGGCACAGTCCTCAAGGATTTCTTATTCATTATTTTTTTCATTATTTTAATTTCTTATTGATGACTCTCAGACTGTTACACAAATGGTGAGGAGGTTGTCAACATATGGCCAATATCAAGAATACCAGACAGTGATCCAACGTGCTTACAAAGATAGAAAGCCAACCTACAGCACAGCCTACAAAGAAGCATTAACTTCTTCTAGTCATTGATGTGCCACTTCTGATGGCATACAACTTTTTGACCATTCTGAGTGAAATAAAGAAACACCCGTTATCATATATGTGACTTAGCAATTCTCAGATGTTTTCGTGTGTGTGTAAAAGCACTAAATGTCACACAAAAATATCTTTTGACATCAAGGTATTCTATCAGAAATGTTTTGATAGTTTTTGATTTGCATGGACCAAAGTCCATGCAGATTTTGGTAATCAAGTGATTAGTTTTGTGATTTACTAATTAATATTTTCAGCTATGAGAAGAAAATATGAGCAGTGCCTATCCCAGTGTATTAAAGCCAAAATTTTTAAATATGCTATAGATTTAATTTCGGTGCTGAAGTACTATTGCTGTAGAAAAGATTCATACACTGTGTACAAAAAGTGAAGGGGTCTTAGACCCTCCACACTCAAATTAAATGGTGTAAATATAAGAAACTGGAAATATTAACATAGTACGAGTTAGATAAGAGTTAGTCCTGGACCAAGATAGAATCCTTACTTTCCCTAACTGCTCCATGAGAGCCTGAGTCATAAATCCAAATTCAATTGTGTCCATTTAACTCTGGCATTTTGTTGTTTCTTGTTTTTGAGTTGATATAAAAGTTTTTGCAGTAAACTTTGTGTGATGTTTGGTAGGGTGTTGGTAGATACTCTGATTGTGCCCCTCTGCACAATCAGTGATGTCTTCACAGTTCTCATGGTATATAGACTAAATGGCATAGATTAGTCATTTTATTTTCAATATCTCATGATGAGAACTTGTTTGTGTGATGAGTTGTGTAAATGAAAAATATTTGTCTAACATTTTTCTCCGTTTTTATCTTATGCAGGAGAGGAGTCATATCCTCCTCACCGCAGCTGCTGCAAAGGAACTTCATCACTTTTGTCCCTGTGGAACAAATGATGAACTGAGGACCTCCTCCACTTCTCAACTTCACGTATCTTTACATTACTAAGTCTTCAATCTCAGTGCTCATCAGAAAAAGGCACTGACCACGTTGCCACACCACATCTGGGCATAGAAATGTGTGTGTGTGTGTATCCTTGGATGCCTGACTGTGTCTGAGTGTTTTTGGACTGAAGAAAGAGGTCGTAGGCTGCACTTGATCTCATAGTCTCTGAGAGGCTCCTCTCCACTTGACTGACTACAACGTTTGTCTCCACCACTGCAAAGCATCATGGGTAGGAAAAAGATTCAGATCCAACGGATCACAGACGAAAGGAACAAGCAGGTGAGTCTTTAATTTCAGGTCATAGCTTTAATCTGGCCCTGCACAGTTTTTTTTTTCATTCAGAAATTGCTGAATTAGATTCATGCTTGTGTCACTGTCCCATTCAAATGTCCATCTTTTCTGCAATGAAAGTACCCAGATACTGTAAAGCAGGCTGTCATCCAGAATTTGCCTTTTTCAGTTAATTAGTTGTTTCCTTCCCCTCACATGACTTCACTGTGTGAGGCTGACACCCTAGTTCACAGTAGGGAGGGTGTTGGATGGGTGAATCACTGCTGAAAAGTTCTTTCTCATCACACCACAGGATAGTTTGCCGCATGTTCTCAGTCCTCCACATTTTTTGTCACTATATAGGCACGCTGTCATGTGACAGTTTTTTCCATAAGTGGCTGTTCTGCTATACAGGCCTGATTAATAAAATTCTGCAGTGAATGTTGCTTATTTTGGATAGATCCACAATCACAGCTCTGACTAAGATCCTTCTTGTTTGCTCAGTTGTGTTGGATGAGTAGTTGTGCAACAATGTTAATTTGGTGTTTTGGGGACTTTTTTTCCTGTTATCACTGCTTCTGAGAGCCAACAAGAAATATTTTTGAGTTTGAGTTGCAGTTCCATCTCCTCATAGCTCTGATCCTGAACTTTTCAGACAAAAGCTGGAATCTTTCTTTCAGTAAATACTGTACATGTTGCATTTCAAATAGCTAAACTGATAAAACTGAGCGTGAAAATTATTGCACCATAAGACATAAAAAAAAAAAATCAGTTTTCAGAACAGTTTAGTTGATGGTGTCACTGAAACCTGCTTAATTTAAAAAAGTAGGTATAATAAATGACAGTACTGCCTGGGAAAACTATTGAATGACTGACAATGATCAGTCATTTCTTATTGACTGAAAGTCAAAGTCTAAGGTTGAAGGCTGTGCTGCTAATATTTACAAGTCAGCAAAAGGCCAACAAAAACTAGTGTGCTTCATTACAGCTAAAAATGGACTCTGTTTCAGTAGTTGTTCTGACACCCAAAGTACTGTCTGTATACTGTATGCTGGATATGATACTACATGAGTCTACCAATAATGTGAGTGCACACATGTACTTGATTACTGGGCCCTGAAAGATCATTTACAAGTTATAAGCTTCTCCTGGATTGTGAATTTCATTTTCAAGTGCAAGTCTAGACTGCTCTATGTGTGGCAAATGGAAGATCTATACAGAGAAAATGTATGTTTTTGTCGTAATATTGATGCCAGTAGTGATGTTAACCTGAGAGAATTGTGTTCAGAGAAGGTTCTACAAAGGAAACATTTCAGTTAAGTTTTTTCAGAATTTAAAAAAGGGTGTGTGGCAATTCTACACAGGCCAAATTGTCAGCATTAATCAATTACTGAAATCCACTAAACTCCCATACTTTTTTTGTGTCCTCCATCATTCTCTCAGGTGACATTCACAAAGCGAAAATTTGGCTTGATGAAGAAGGCCTATGAGCTGAGTGTGTTGTGTGACTGCGAGATTGCCCTGATCATCTTCAACCACGCCAACAAGCTGTTCCAGTATGCCAGCACTGACATGGACAAGGTCTTGCTCAAATACACAGAGTACAACGAGCCTCATGAGAGCCGGACCAATGCAGACATTATTGAGGTAACTTCATCTCATCAACAGCCTGTGAAAATGAGTGAGCAAATACTAACGACTGCTTCGGCTAGATTTGTAGGTGATCTGCAGGATTTTATCACAGTTTTACCATTTGTGTTATTCCAGGGCAAGCAAACCTTTAAACAGAGTTGAGAAGCCAAACCGTAGTTACAGACATTCCCAAAAGGTTTTTCTTTTTCTGTTGCAACAAACTGAACAAGAGTAAAAGGTTAGACTTTTGGAAATACGCACATGATAGTGAAATGCAGTCAGTGGAAGTACAGTCTATATGTGAACTGAGATAATCTTACCACACTGTTGTAAAAGTAAATCAAAGGTAGTAAAAGTATATAGAATAAAGTGCCTTCATGAGATCTTAAATAAAAAAAAAGTTTGAGACTTTGAAATTTAAAAGGAAATTAAATAAAAGTAAACGCATCACAATTCTTATTGTTGCTGCAGTATGGATCAAAGTTTATGTTTGCTGTTTATAATGTATATATTTAAAAAAAAAAAGTCAATTCCTAGCAACTTGGCTGGCTGATTTTACACTACTCTTACATTTCCTTTCTATTATTAAATATAGACTTTGAGAAAGAAAGGCTTCAACGGTTGTGACAGTCCAGAGCCGGACGGTGAAGATTCCATTGACCAAAGTCCCCTAAATGATGACAAGTACCGCAAGAGCACAGAGGACCTGGATGTTCTCTTCAAACGCTACGGAGTATGTCCTCCAACATGTACATGCCACCTGATGTTCTCACATTTCATCTACCTGTAGTTACTATTTCTTCTGCTCCTCTTGTATGTAAACGTCTTGGTCAAACATTTCTCTGTCCTTATTCAGTGTTTGGTTTGGCCTGTAGAACAAAGCTACTGACAAAGAAGGGCTTAAATCTGCAGTTTTACTTGGCTTTAAAGAGCCATATATTGATTCTGTCTTGTACAGCTATCCTGCCTGTAAATTTACAGATGTGGTTCATGCTTAGGTTTTTGCAGTATTCAATGAAAACCTGTAAAAAACAAACAAAAAATGCTCTGCACTACCTGCTCAGCACCAAACAGCAGGCAGGCACAGCTAGCAACTAGTTGACAAACACAGTGGAGCACTTAGCAGCTAAAGAGGGAGAGTTCCCCCTCAGGAGTCAGTGTAGACCATAAACATAGCTCATAGGAATACTGGACTTAGGTTTGCCAGTTGCCCAGAGGCATGAATGAATGCTAATGTTGTACCGTAACGGCTGGATGTGTAAATAAGCAGTTGTTTGCCAACAGCTTTGCCAAATTAACTTGGAAGGCCATGATACTGTATGTCAGTGCTGTGTTTACAGCTTATTTCCACTGACCCCAAGTGGCCAAAAGTCTGATATTGCAGGTTTAAAGATTAAACTTGTGCATACTTAGAAGGTGATGTAACTGAAATGGAGCAGCGAGTTTTTGCACAGTTGAGACTAAAAGTGAAATTCTCTCTTTCCATTGTGCAGCAGTCGACTGCTCCGCCCCAGACGTTCTCCATGCCAGTCACAGTCCAGGCATCCAGTCAAAGCACACTGCAATTCAGTAACCCTGGCAATGCCCTGGTAACTACCTCCTATGTAACTTCATCGTCGCTCACCGATACGCACCTGCTGTCACCACAGCAACCAGCTCTCCAGAGAAATACGGTGTCTCCTGGGTTGCCACAGCGACCAGCCAGTGCAGGTGAGCAAGAGATATTCATCTGAGCGTGGTACTCACCTGTAGTCTTAATAAATCCCAGGTTTTTACCCTTCAGTCATGTTTCTGTTGTTACAGTATCTGCTCTTCCTTAAAATCCTCCTTGTTTCAAGAATAACATGATAATGACTGTATCCATACTTATCAGTTGTTATTCACTGTTGGATGATGACAGACCTGCAGTAGATGGTGTGCGCATGTAGCTCTTTATCATTATGTGTAACAAGCTGCTTAATCCTTTAGGGAGTATTGCACATTCTTCTGCTCTAGACTGATCTATTGTGTGACATTTGCTGTACTCCCTCCAACTTACCATTTTTTAAACTTTTGTATTATTTTTAATTATTAGTTTATAGCTGTAGCAAATGCATGTTAGGCATCAGACAACTAGAGTCAGTACCTGGCTTATAATAACTATATAATTATTCAATGTATATTATCTGCAGGAATGGAACTCTTGAGAATTTGCTTAAAAGCCAAATGTGGAATAAAGAATCATAGTAAGAGTGAAGAATTAGATATGATACAAGAAGATGGATAAAAAAGTAGTTCAAATACTAAAGTATACAGCGTAATGGTCTGGTGTATAGGTGTTACTGGGTACTTTTTTCCAGTGTGTAAATCATTCTGTACATTATTAAGGATTACCATTGATAGTTTGTGGTAAAACATTTAAAATGTGTTGAAACTGATAACAGGTCTTCTCTGGCAAGTTACAGAATAAAGGACTAATAAAAATAATTATTAGTTGCATTCTTATTTCTTAGATTGTACCACAAATAATAGAAATATATGCATTATATTACTAAGGCCTATAAGTGTCTTTTTGGTTCTGCAGCACAGTAATAACCTGTTCTATTGATTTACTCTGTAATCAATAGGTGCTCTTCTTGGGGGCGACCTGAATAATTCAAATGGAGGATGCCCAAGTCCAGTCCGTGAGTCCTGTTATGGTTGTTCAGAACCTGAGCTGGCTTTATTCTTCAGCTGTTTTTTCATTGCCAAATGTTCCTCTGTTACCTGGTCTATGTTCCCTTTGCTTCTCTCCTCCTCTATGATCAGGGGATGCTGCAGCTTTTAACACGCGTGCATGAAATTCCCAGCACTTCCCTTTGGCCGTGTTCATCTTATTTAACATTATAGCACTTTTTTTATTCCTGAACTGCAATTCCTTTTAGTTCTTTCTTTTAAATGTTTGCATGGTATGATATTTAGAGTAAAACTGAAATATCTTTTTGCTCCCAAATCATATTTATCATTTCCAGAAATGTAGTTATTTCAAAGAAGATTGCATAGGATTTTAATAGAGGGATTAATATGAATCTGTCTCTAAGACAAAAATGTTCTGTCATCATATATGTAGGTCTCATTAAAAAAGACTTATTTTGCATGATGTGATGTTGGCTTTTTGAGGCTTTGCTTCTGTCATGTGACATTTTAAATTAGAGACCCTGAATAGAACAGAAACCTTTGCAGGATTGACTCAACTTTGAGTGCACACACAGGGTCGGAAACCTGCTGTCTGCTTTCACCTGTTTGATTTTCCTATTGATTTCTGTCCATTCGCACCTCTATCTCCCCCGCAGCTAATGGATACACCAGTGCCAGGGCCTCCCCAGGTCTCCTCACTGTTTCCAACGGCAACAGTCTGGGGAAAGTAGTTCCAGCCAAGTCTCCACCCCCACCTCCCAGTCCTCAGATGGTCAACAGCCGCAAGCCAGACCTCAGAGTCATCACTTCACAGGGTGGAAAGAGCCTCATGCAGATGGTGAGTTTATCAAGCTGCACATGTGCTGTCTGGGTCCTTTTAGTTAACATGTTGAACCTTGAAAGAATGGCACTTAATACAGCCTAACTATTCATACTTCTGTTTTAAAAGCTTAATTATGTGGGATTATTAAAAACATAACAAAGCAAAGACTTACCTGATTCTGAAACCTAGAAGGTTTGTTCAGGGAGATGAGGAGCTAGAAATTATTTTCATTTTATCTCAGATAATCTCGGAAAATTAGACAAAAACACAATTTATATTGATGTATCAAGTGGAATTCAAGAATTGGAGTGAAGATAAACATTGAGTCAGAGGCTGTTTGCCATCGTTTTGTGTGTTTTTTTTTTTTTTAGCAGAGAGCTGGTGGCAGAAATGTTTTTGCTAAACACTGGAAGTCCAGTATCTCATCATTTACTCTGGCAAAGTTAGTGAAGTGTTGGATAAATCAACAAACTCCCACCAACACACCGATGAGATCTCTCATAACTGAACATGAACAGCGTATGCTAACCACCAGCAGTTGTAGCTCAGTAAAACACTGTCTCATTTGAGACTGAAAGTTCATTATTGACCTTGGAAGCAGCAGTTGGCAAAACTGTGTCAGCACACGGTGATTTCATTATTGTTCTGGAGCTTTTGAGCATATCACACAGTCTTCCTCGGCAGATGGAGTTTACCCATTTGTCGTGAACTGGATTTGTACAAATCTTTATTTTTTGAGCATTTTTATATTTACAGTGGGTCACACAACTAGTTATTTGTGTTATTCATAGTGACAAACCCACAGAGAGTCATTATCTGCAGTTATTTTCAGGTAAATGAATCGGTCAGTTTCAGAACTCTGAACAGCTGGCTTCAGCACACACACATACAAAGAAAAAAAAAACAAGGTTAGACCATGCGCCCAGTACCAAACGGCAGCAACTATGTTGCTGGCTAGCTGGTGAACACAGTGGAGCATTGCATTTAGCTAAAGAAGGACATGCTTCCCTCAGGACTGGGTGGAGAGTAAAATAGAGCTAAAAAGAGCGGACAGGCGGCCAGAAAATCAATGCTAATGTTTCATGTCTGATTGATGTTTAAATAGGCAACTGTTTGCTAATACATTAACCATAACAACTTTCAGTCATTGTTGTATTGACCACTTACTGCTCTTCCCCCCAAGTAGCCAAAAAAAACATGTAGACTTCTGGTCCATGTTTGTGTCAGAATTGACACTATAATGTTCATTTTCAATCTTGGAAACAGTAGAATTATCTGGACAGTTTCATGTGATCAAAAAGCTCCAGAACAGCAGGTGATCAATCATAAGCAGGTAGGGCGATGGTACTGCACCCCCGCTGACTAGGTCTGACACATTTAACAATTGGGACGCTCAGAGTTATTCAGTTTTTAACACTGCATAACAACATCAGTGAAGTTCAAACTGCACTATATACTTTTCTCATTGTTTTTGTATTTTTTAATGACTCTATTCACCTTTTGTTACAAACCTGAAGCAGACTTGTAACCCTCCTTGTTACCACCCCTTGCAGACAGAGGATGAACTGGAATTGGTAAACGAGGTGATTTTTTTTTTTCTCCCTTCCCGCCCCCCTCACGTCAGTCACTCGCATGAGTCGATGGTTATCGACTGTCCGCACATTATTGGTATGGTTACAATACTGCACCAGAGTTTTTCATTGTTTTGGTCTTGCTCTTCTTGCGATGGCCTTCAGTTTGTGGTTCCCACCTGACTGCATGTTGTTCAGCACTCATGGTTGTGTTGTTTGAGCATTTTTGTAGTGTTAGGATCATGATCTTCTCTCAGTAAAAACCTAGAAAACCCTGTGTAATGGACACCTTCGGAGTAAAAAGCTGAATCATCTGAGTGATTTTGTAAGTTTTGAACCAGGACCATTTACTTCATCATAGAGTATGATACCACTTAAAGCATGGGCGTCTTTTCACTTGGCATTGTGGCACACAACGCCGCAAAGCATGTTCCCCGTTCACTGACACTCACACTGACACTGACTCTCATTCTCACCTTCCACCAAAATTGTTAATTAGAGATGTTAAAAAATAAATGGCATTACATTAAAGGCATTTCACTTTTTTTTTTTCTTCTCCTCAGTCGCGTCTCTAAACTTAGCTCAAAGCATTTGCAAAAAAAACTTTGTGTAATAATTCAGGATTGTGTATCTCCTAGAAAATTTTTGGTTGCATTTTATTTAGAAACAAAATAATAAATAGTGAATTATTTGATAGTCTATTCTCATCTTCTCAAATGTGGGGATTTGATGCTTTTCTCTGTTATATATGACAGAAGATTTTATATGTTTGGCACTTGAACTGTTGGTCAGACAAAATAAGCTATTTAAATGTGTCATATTGGTCTCTGGGAATTTCTAATGTAATATTTATGTTTCCTGACATTTTGTAGTCTATCTAGAACAGAAATAATCCTATAGTAGTAGGCCTATAAAGGATACACAGATGTGTGCTCCTTATGAAGAAAAAATCATCAAATCATTATTCACACCAAAAATGTTAAAAATGAAAGTACAACATAGTGATAGAGAAAGCTTGTTAAAGTGTAAAATTGGGTTTCTATTAAGCTGAATTTACTCAGAGAGAGGGATGATGGTAACTGCTTTCGCAAGCTGGTGCTCATTGTCATTCCCTCTCTTTTACAATTCCACTCAAAGTTGACAGGCAAGAATCTCATTTTCCAGAGGACAGTGATCCATTTTCATCAGTCTCCCCCTGCTGTCCTCCTTCTTCACAAAGGCAGTTAATTGAATCTGGCCCCTCTCTCCAGTCTATCTCATCTCTGTAAATTCAGTGTTACAGTCGTAACTCTGGCTGAATGTGTTCTCTCAGTACGATCAGTCTCTCACAATACAGAAGAGTAATTCCAACCAGAATTATTGCATCTTTGGACCCTTTTATTTTATTTTTCCTCCATTTGCTTTTATCTCTGGTATAATGCAGCTGAACCAACTCTGGAGTGTTTTGCTTCTTCAGAGATTTGAATATTTGAACACAGATACATAACAATAAAACCTCCTGATAGCAGTTTCGCAAATTAAGCAGTGCATTTATTGCAACTTTGTTGGAAAAACATTGAGTGTTTTGTCTTCTAAGTAATTGACATGAACACTGAGCAAGGAGCAGGTTTAAACCCTGTTAGCTTTCTCTTAGCAAATGACTGAAATATACAGTGTGCTCTACCAGTGTGGAGTGCACCTAAGCAGCGCACTGACATCCAGGCCTTTACTGACATCCACTGGAGACACATGAGATCAGCCCTCTATGGGACTTGAAGAAAACACCAGTGAGGGAAGAGAGCAGGGGCCCTGGTTAGGTTACAACAGACGGGGATCCAGATGCCACTCCCATCTATCTATCTAGCAAATTTTCGTGTTTGCATATTCCTTTTTTTTTTTTTTTTTTGTTCTTTCAGTCTTGTTTATCTACTGTTTGCCTTATGGAAGAACATTGTACATACACACTGAGAGCCACTGTACCAGAGTCAAATTCCTTGTGCGCTCAACTCACCTGGCCAATAAAACTGATTCAAATATTAAATCCACCATAATGCATACATACAATATAACTGAGGCTTGAATAAATTGCCTTTAATATAATACATCTGCAGCATTTCTGGCTCACTCAGAACAAGGAAACCTTTTTTTTAGATGCATGTCCTCAAGAACATCCATACAGTAAATCCACTTAATTTTGAGATTTACTCGACTCATTATGAATCCAGCCACATGCACATTGTCATTCCCAGCATGTCAGAATTTACATTTTTGAAGTGCTATAAAATCTTGGTTTCAGTTGCAGGTTTGTTTCAGCTGTGACTAATATGTTGTCGTCCTGTCTTGGCAGAACGCCCAGCGGCTGGCAGCTGGAGCCCAGGTGGCACAAACCCTCACCACACCAGTGGTCTCAGTAGCCACACCGAGCCTTCTGGCACAAGGGCTGCCCTTCTCTGCCATGCCCACAGCATACAACACAGGTGAACTAAACATATTGCGCGGCTCAGGGAGCGATGATATGCTTTTAGTTAATAGAGAGAGCAACAGCTGACTTGTACAACAATGCAATGTCTGATCTGTTTCCTAATAAAACTAAGAATATATATCCTGTTATATTGTCGTGTGACCTTTTTATCCTTTGTCCTGCCTCAGAGTACCAGCTGACCAGTGCAGACATTACTGCTTTACACGCTTTGGCATCACCTGGCGGCTTGTTGCCAACCAGTGTGTCCACATGGCAACAGCAGCAGGCTGTTTCCCAGCAACCACAGCAGCAACAACATCAACAGCAAACGCAGCAGCAGCAGCAACAACAACAACAACAACAGCAACAACTTATGCTTGCATCACTTGGCAACTTGGTGTAAGTCATTTATTTTCCTACCAGCTCTGCATCTTTCTTCAGACCTGTGATACACAGATTTCACTCAAAAGGAGATACTTCTGCTAAACAGCCTGGTGTCATAGCTTTCAATCTGATAACCTTAACATTGATAAACATGACTACTGACCCTCGCAGGCAGCTTGCATAATATCCATACCATGACTTTATATGCAAGCAGTTCATTCCTTTTTCAGTGAATCGGTCCTTCACCAGCATCTCACCATCTCAGCCTCTTCATAACATCAGTCTGAACACAGTTCATTTTTTTATGGAGCACATGCACTTGAGGATGGTGACAAGATGTGCAGTGTTTAGAGTGAGGAAAAGAGATTGTTGTCTCAGAGAAAAAGCATTCAGATCCCATTGCTTTTTGCATGTTCTATAGAGGGCTGTAGTAGTGGTTCCTAAAACCCGGAACTGGGTTAGCGTTTTTGCACTTCCAGTTCCCTCACCCTGAAGTCAATGGGATTTTGATTAGGCACCTGAAAGGTCTGTGGTTAACACAAGGCCAGTACCCTGTCACATTTTATTCCATGAAATAAAATACGTCATTAAATACCCTACTCGTGATTAAAAAAAAAAATGTTTTTAATGCTTTTACATGTCTTAAAAAAGGCAGTTGGTTAAATGAGACTAAAGAGGTTGTCTGGGATTTTAGACATCACAGACTCATCCACTCACTAGTCCACCTTTACAGCCTCACTACAGACTGACGCTGAAGTCATGGGATCATGGTGTAGTTCATTTGTAGCCTAACAATAGCTTTTTACTTCTGCTGATCATATTTGGGCTTCAAAAATCATAAAAGTGGTGTTCACTTGTGACAATTATCTTGATGAACAAAATGTGTCAAACGTTTGTTTGTCACGGAGCTTATTTGCTGCAATAATCCAAAAGCCTATGGAAAATTCCCATTGGCTTTTTGTCAAGGGAACCAGGGTGATGCTATTAGACTTGTAATGGCAGCTTTGTGTGGGCAGACTGCACATCCATGTTATTTTGTCTCCAAGTCGAAATTTAAATCTTGTTTTTCTGCAAAGAAGTGAAAATTTCAGTAAATGACAAGGAACTATTTATTCAAAGCTTGATTACACTACAAACACCAATGACAAAATTTATTTACAAGAAAGTGCTGAATTAGAGAACTTGTTTAAGCAGTGCAGTGTTAGTGTGTGAAAAGAGTTCTGCGAGCAGAGTGCTGCAGGGTTCAGGTTGGGTTTTTAGTAGCTTGAACACCAGATCCTTGAAAGTGTGTTCTCTCCTCTTGTCCACAGCATGTGGGGCGTGGACAAACAGAGCAGCGAGCTGTCTAGCCAGGTATCGAGTCTGGCTGCCAATCTGAGGTGAACAGCCACTACTAGTGTGTGCCTGTGTGCAATGTCATGACCTTGTCTGTAAGGGGCGTATTTGAAGTCCACTTTATTTGAAGGGCCTCTATCTGAAATCAAATCACTTGTAGTATAGTATATTAACTTAAAAGTACTTTTTGTTACATCTTCCTTTGACTATGAGGGCAACAAATAGTGATCCAGTGAATCCTGGCAAATTTAAAATGCATCTGTAATGATGTGTAAAACCATAGAATATGATTAAACTTTGAGAAAATAGTACTAAACTTTCTAAAGTAATTTGCTGTATAGAAATGTTGTATTTTTAGATTTTTATTTAGCTAGCAGCACAAATTAAACACATTTCCACAGGGAAAGTCTTTATTAATCATTTTTTCTGCACAAAAATTTAGATTAATGCACTGCAAAATGAGAAACGGTGCAAATATAGAAACACAAACCACATGATTTCTATGTTCATCTTGTCTCTGTATGTGTAAATATACATTTACACATTTATCTTAATTGGAAAGCTTCAGTATTTCTGCTGCCATTTCTTTTCCCCTCTTGCTGCACATTAGTTGTGTTTGCAGTCTTTAGGGCACATTTGATAAAAATAGTTTATTTAACCATGAATGTACCCTACTGAAACATTTATTCACACATTTTTCACATCTGGATTTTTAACTGTGCTGGAACAAAGGTTAAACAGATTAGGTACTCTGATACTGACACATTATCATATATTCCTGTTGTGGAAGACAGTTGCTCGCAATAATGTTTCACACTTTTCTCCAAACATGCCTTCTAATCCACCTCTTCCCTTTGGTTTGGGCTCCAATGTTTTGTTTTTCTCCCCACAGTATTGGCTCTCCGTCCAACCTGCTCTTGGGTAGAGATGAGTGGTTGGGTCGGTACTGTATCACACTTCCTTTTTCCTCTATGTCTGTGCGCTTTTGGCTGGCTGCACCTAAAGCATGTCTGGTGATGTCTGCAGTCAAACAGGAAAGAGACATAGTTCCGGTTTACACCATGTTCTCAAACCTGAGATTATTTTCTGTTTATCATTTGTAGTCTCTTCACAACACAGCTGACTCACTGCGAACCACCCTGTCACACAAATCATTTCATGCTTCCTGGGCTGTTCTGTTGATCTTTTGGGAGCAGTGGGGTTGTTAATCCTGCTTTGATTGAATTGTTGAATAATCAAGTGTGGCTTTTCCTGTCGGTGCTGTGCCTTGTAATGTGGGTTTTTGTCTTGACATGAGTGGCCCTTCAGTTTCTTATATGCATTTGCCAAATAGCTAATAATTTTTTTTTGATTTCCCTCTTTGTTCTGTCCCTTATCCTCCATTTTCTTCCTCTCTCTGTCTTCCATGACCCTGTTCTTAGGCCGGTCACCCATATACCTCAAGGTGCCATGCTGACTGTCAACACAAACTCCAGTGTGAGCATCAAATCAGAGCCGGTCTCACCTGGACGGGATCGAAGCACCCCTTGTCCTCCTCCCTCCACCACACCGTCCTTGACCTCAGGAGGAGCCATTCTGACCACTCCGCCACAGTACCCTGGCTCCCTGCTGTGCCTGGAGCCCCCGACTGGCCGCTCACCTGCAGACAGTGTAAGCAGCAATGCCAGCTCCTTTGAAGGCAGCGATCGTGATGACACCAGTGCAGCTGATGGAGGCAGCAGTGGAGGAGGAGCAGGTGGCGGAAGCGGCGGCAGCAGCAGCACAACTGGCACTACAGGTCCCGTCAACCGCTCTGTGCCACCTGACTTCAGCCCATCAGCTGAGCTACTCAGGGCGTCGAACGAACCAGAGCAGGAGGGAGGAAACGTCAAGCGCATGAGATTGGATGCCTGGGTCACATAGAGGGGCCGGCACTGCCAGTGAAGTTTTGGTGACACCTAATACCCACAATACACTCACACTCATGCTTAAACCCCACGGCTTTGACCCCACTGCCATGTGATGCTATCATCATACATCTGCCTCTGTCCAAAATTAAACAACTCGGTTATGTCACCCAGACTTCAGAGACTTCATCAAAACAAAAAAACCTATTAAAAAAATGAAACCTGTTTGGATCATGCTCTGAGTGAGGGGAGGATGGTTTACTGCTGGATATTTTGTCCCAGGTAGGCCCCTTGAATAGTGGGACAATAGATTTTTAAAGTCTTCTTGCTTGGACCCCCATATAATAATTTCTTTTGGTAGAAATTAGGTGTTCAACCTTTTTCTATATGATGAAATCATAAAAACTTAACTCACGTGGTTTCTGCATCACCCTCATGTATTTCCATCAAGTTCTGTTACATTGTTCACAGTGAGACTGGTGGCTTGTCAACATCAAGAGACTTCTGCTGTATGACGCGCCATCTCCTGCTCTTTGAAATCCAATGTCATTTGGATTGTGTGCTGTTCATTCTTCCATAAGTCACTTCCAAACTGCACTATTGGAAATTATATTGTCCGGACATGTTTGAGGACTGAGCATTTATCTGGCACTGAACAAACAGACTCGGGACAGATTCTTCTAGATGAGGACACTTCACCATTGATCTTTCTGCTGCCACAGTTAATGACCTCAGACACACAGGCAGGCCTGAGCTGTCAGGTGGCCCTCTGTAGCTGTGGAGTCGAGCACCTGGCCACAGTGCCAATATCAACTTCTCTTCAACAAAAAATATGCCAAATTCTCTTGAAAACAGTGCAGGGACACTGATGAATCACTCGCACTGTCACAGAAAACGATGAGAACTAGAAACTGTCGATGCTTTTCAGGCTTTGAATTTATCATCACTTTCTCCTCAGACTGGGTGCTCCTCCCGTCCACTCACCTCATATCTTCTGGAACTTGGATGGAAGTTGTTGCACCAGAAATCCAGCCAGTCAGTCGGTTTATTAACAGGAGTAGGTGCCATCTTGTTAAAAGCCTAGTATCAGTTTTTTGAGCCTCTGGTGGCTTTTTTTGGATAGGAAGTAATTTGGTTCCTTCAGTCCAAGTGTTCATCTGTTTGGTATTTTAAAAATCTGTTTTGAAGGTCTGTTTCTTGTCCAGAAGTAGAAACTCTTTGTATAAAAATCACTCCTTATACCGAAGCTTTGATGTCCTATTTAGCTCTCTCTAGCTCTTGCCGTGTTTCAAAACGTGAAAGGAAAAATACATTTTCTATATTTCTACTGCTTCAGTTGGCGACAAAGTAAAATAGCTTTTCAGCGCAACGACGTGTATGTACATATGAATATATTTGCATAGACTTTGCTAGGTATCCCTAAAAATAAGCAATGTGTTGATTCTCAGTGGATCTGTTTGCATATAAGAGTGTGAATTTGATATGTTTCAAGCTACGGTGCAGGGGTTATGTCACACCAGGTAGCGCTGGTGGATCAGACTTCAGTAAACCTATTTTACACTAGTGTTGCTGGTGTGTGCACTCTCCGTCTCACTCACAGAGGCCTGCGTGGTAGTGGTGTCATCATATTCTCACCACACATTTTTAAAACCCACAATTAGAGTAAACTTGTCCATCTTTACATGAAGTAATTATTTGAGCATTGCCAATCAGTTCTACTTGTGATAAAATACACTTAGTTATACATATCTTTGATTAAAAGAATTGTACTTTTTTTTTTCCAGAGGAAGGAGAGGAGACATGTTTTGCCTTTTTTTCACTTTGAAATGAAGTGATAAAAAAATTGGCTTCTAAGTGCTGTTTGTTTAGCTGTGTTTTCCAGCACAAATTTATTTTGTCTAAACCATTTCAAGTTTGTGCATGAGTGTGAGTACACAGGCTGTTTATAGTCTACAAATTGGTATTTTGATTGCTTGACTTTCTTTTTTCCTGAGAAGAGCTCTTAAGTGTGGACTGGGGTGTCAGCCACTGTTTGTCTGTTGATTATGTAGTGAAACAGTCCTACACTTTTGAGTCAGTGTAGGTGAGGTGGCTGCTCTATGACCTGATGCTATTTTGTGCGATTAGTCGCCGCCCACAGGTGTAGTTTGTAAATCCAGTGTCTGACACCAGTACATAAAGCCATGTTGGAGAATCCCTTAAATCGTTTCGACAATAGTGAGCATTTTGAGAAACTTAAACTAGTCCATTTTCTTGCAGAGTTGGATGAGAATACTGATACTGACTTGTGTAAATTACAGCCAGCAGCCAGCTGGATTAGCAGGAAAACTAGTGGCCTGACTCGGTCCAACAGTACCAAAATCCTCCTGTTAGTTACTCTGATACTCACCCTTAATGCCAGATTTATGTTTTATCGCCTCGAGCATAATTTTGAGCAAATGTCGGATTTCTGGGTCATTTCCATCCAAATTAATGTACGTTTTTCTGATCTTTCCATTCAGCCAGCATTATGTGAACATAAAGTTCACGTGACTCCAGGACGTTAGAGGCTGGCCAAAAAATACTGCAGCAGATAACCACCCCTTTAGATGGTGGTAAGACTTTTACTCCCCCCCTTTGCCTTTGCACAGAGCCAGGCTAGCTGTTTCCCAATTTTTAATCTTTATGCTATGCTAAGATAACTAGCTCCTGGCTGTAGCTTCATATTTAATGAGCAGACATGAGAATTCCTCTAATCTAAATCTCAGCAGTGAATGAATAAGCATATTTTCTGAACGGTCAAACAATTCTGGTGAGCAGTAGCAGCCTTCTGATGGCTAATGACCTCTCTTACCATGCAGTCACTTCCATTTTTACAAAGATTTATTTCCATGAAACTTTTTGGGTTTGTGGGTACTGATGGTTGACTGAAATGTGACACCATACCTTAACATCTTGCCTCTCGCAGGTTTGTTAATGTACAAAAAGGCCCTCTGTCCAATCTAGCAGTGTAGTCACAAGACAATCTATGAGACATGAAAACCTGCACCCCTGTTACTTGTTGTGTACAATGTTTTTTAGAAACTCACTATTTTTGGATTAATTTGTGCTGGTGACAGTTCCATTGTCTACTATTATAATGATATGATTATGAAGCTTTTATTTTATTGATATTTTGTGTAGGATAGCCAACTGTTTTTTTTTCTCTTGTATATTTTATCTTCCTTATCATAAACATAGTACTGGTTTCCTTTTTTGAAACAACTTGCTGAAAATTGCACGATCAGTTGTTGTGGTATTAGCAAATGCAGTGAAGGAAATACCAGTTAAATGCTGCAGTTTTAATCAAGATATAGAATATATTTATAAAACTGGGAAACAGCTGAAATTAGTAATTCATTAATTTTGAAAAAAAATTTAATGCATGGGTAACAGGTAACAACAAAACACGTTGCATACAGTAATGAGAACAGACATGCATCACAAGTGAGTTTTAAAACAACTCAGAATAATGTAGCATATGAAATACTCAAGATGAAATTTATAGCTAATATATTGTGCTGAGCTAGTCTGCTTTGGGTTTTTGTTGTAAAGAAAATACTTTTTTTTGAGAATGATATACAATTTGTGTATATTTTCATATACAAAGTATGCACTGATGTTACTGAAATTCTATACCGCTTTTACAAAAGTGTTTGTTGTACCAAAGTATCCAAGTCCCTTGAAACCTTATCCTTTTTGCGTATGTTTTACTGTATTTTATATATTAAATAGACAAACTGAGTGAAATTAAATTAAATCTGGTTTATTTTCTTGATTGAAAGGTCAACGCTACGCTTGGAGCTCTTCCTTCCCTAACAGCCCGTCCATAAACTAGTGAAATCACCCGACTGCTGTGGGCACTTGGCTTGTAAGCAGTATCCTAGCCTGCAGTCTCTGTAATTAGCATCTGTGTTAAGAGTACTGCGTGTAATGGTCCCTCTTTGGACGTGTTCATCATAATATTTCCTAGAACTCTGTAGACTAGGTCAAAAACTATGCCTAGGTAAAATGCCTTCCGCTCTTTCTGAGCATCTTATCTCATCTAGTCTTACAACTTGGCTTATAGAGAAAAGTTGACCCAATCTTGAGATTCGGTTCTTCAAAACTTATTTGTGACACCAGAATCCAGATCAAGCTCAGCCCATGGTACTGCTGCAATTTTTGAAGATAACATCTTCAGCAGAGTAGAATGATTCTTGATGCAAATTGGATAAGCCTGATGAATTAGCTCTTCTCGATCTGTCGCTTTCTCCAAGATCTTATACAAAGTAGGTAGTTTTATATTTCATTGTCTTTTGTATTGGTTACAAATGTGTATTAACCAATAAACATTGATTACAAAATAATGAAATATAAAACTAGCTACTTTGTACTGTCATAAAATGTAAGTAGTAGCATGTCACTAACTGTTATGAAGGAAAAATCTATAGAGCCTCTGGCAGGGTTTACAGTGAGCGACCACTAAAGGAATACATGCATCAAGTGAAAATCTACATAAATCTATTTGCCCAAAATGTGGCAAAACTTAGGTTAGAATTTCAAAAAAAATATCTCCTGGGCTACAGTGAAAACTCTCAGGAGATGCAAAGTTGCCTGTTCTGCCCAGAAAGTCAGCAAAACCACAGCAATGATAAAGCCCCAGAGAGCACAGTGCAATCACAGCAAGAGAAAAACATGCAACGTCAGCCAAGAGTCCATAAACAGCAGAGAGAAAGGACTTTGCGTGCTTTGCTTGTAGAAGCAATATTCAAAATAATTGAATTGCAGTGGTCTGAGCTCAATCCCAATTCTGCAAATGAGGCAGTGATAAGAACCATAACTGGAACACATCACACATTTTAACAAGATGCCTTCAGGACACTTGCAGAAACTTACAAGAAATGCAAACACAGCAAGAGAGGAAGGAAACCTAGAAAGATGCTATGGTGTTTACACTGGTCCATAAGATTTTAGGAAAGGTACCAATTAAAGTCAGCTACAACTAGACAGCACTTAGAGTGCAAACCTCCACCACTATTTTCAGTGGCATAAGATTTAAATTAACCTTTGACAGAAAAATAAAGACCTCTTCCTTCAAAGAAGACTGACCCATCCAGCCAAACTGAGCTCAAGCCTCCACCTGTTCTAAAAGAAGCCCAGGACGTTCCCAAGGCTGGACCACCACAGCTCAGCAGACCCTCAGAATATACTGCAACCTAGGGACTACAGTATATCCAGCGATGGAGTGGGCAGAGAGAGGTTCACTGACTGTACTGTGCTCCAAAGAGACTGGAGAATAATGAAAGTGAACTCAAATTGAGCCAAAGTTTGACATACTGTCTGGCTGCTGGAGAAAGATTTTATACTGTGAAAATGTTCAGTGGTACATTTGCTGATTGCTGAAAGGAAAACTACTGTAGCTGCTTACTTTGCTTACTTATAGCCATTATGGGTAGCTCACAGCAAGGGTTTGTATCAATATGGAAGTACCTAAACACTTGGTGTTGGTTTACAGGTGAGAACAGTTCAGATTTAAAGCCTTTTATGGAAAACCAGAGTGTTCAATAATAATAACAGATAAAAACAACATTGAAATTAATAATCATATAAATAAATAGTGTAAAATACTTGCACAGACAATTTGTGAAACCATTCAAGAAGTGTTTTGCAACAGCGATGATGGCAGCGCAAAGCACTGCAGCGGCTTCTCAGGTACTGTATATAATATAACTTAAGGAGGTGTGGCCACACCCCACTGTCTCTTTTCATCGGAGGAATGGCTGTGGAAATGGTTTCCAGCATAAAGTATTTAGGACTTCACGTCTCTAGGAACTTTGCATGGACCATTAATACAACCACCATCATAAAGAAGGCCCAACAGCATCTATATTTTCTAAGGAGGCTCAATTGGGCTGGCCTGGATGCTCTGGTCTTAACCTTCTACTGGTGTGTGGTGGAGAGCATCCTGACATGCTCCATCATGGTCTGGTATGGGAGCTGCTCTGCTGCTGACAAAAAGGTGCTACAGAGGGCCATTAAATTGGCCCAAAAGACCATTATACACTGCAGTCTGCCTTCCATTGAGGACATCTATATCATCAAGTGCAGGACCAGAGCCTCCTCCATCTTGAGTGACCCCACACACCCAGTGCATGAAGTCTTTCAATTCCTTCCTTCAGACAGGAGGCTGCAGAGCATCAAGGCCAGGACCACCAGGCTCAAATCCAGTTTCCTACCAGAAGCTGTGAGAATTATGAATTCTAGGCCTCTGTGATAGATAGCATGTTAGATATGATGCCCGTTGCTTTAATGCTGTTGTTACATTAGGTTTTATCATTTAGAGTGCATTATTTGTCATATTATTATTTTATATGCTTTGCATAAATGTGAATTTTAATGAGGGGACTGATTTCACATTAACCTAACACATTCAAATTATTACCACATAGATACCATTATGCAAGTAAGTAAATTTGTTGGTAGGAAAATAATACAGATAGAATGCAGCAAATTGAGTACAACTCAGTTACCATTAGAATCCTGACTACTGACATATCCAACAATCAGGCATAACATTGTGACCACTGACAGGTGAAGTGAATCACACTGATGAGCTCCTTACATCCACCTGTCAGTGGGCGGAGTTTATAAGGCAGCAAGCTAACAGTGCCTAAGGAAGGACAGATGGTGATGACAGGGTCGTGGACGCTCACAGGTTGATCTATTTGCAGATCTTTTGCAATTAAATCTTAATGTTCTACGTGCATGCAGATGCTTAGCTGTTACTCTGAGGTAAAGCAGTTGAATAAATTTATGGTTTCTAGTTCATGTAGGCTACTTTATCTTGCATTAGTGAGAATTTAATGTTGGCATGTAGCGTTAGCAAAACTCTGCTAGCAAGAAGCCTTTCGGGCTGAAGGCGAACCAGGCGTGTGTCCTAACTAGCTCCATGTGAGGTTAGCCTTCCGATACGCTATTGTTTTGCTTTAGCTTGTTCATTTGAACAATGAGGTTAATTAAGACTTGATTTTAGGGAGTTTGCCGTGACTTAGTGGTAACTAGCCACCTATCCCCTGTTGGCTCTGTAGTTGGCCTGCCAGCCTTATGGGAACAGTATCGAATATATCTGGACTAGATTATCGTTAGTACCATCTTGTTTTAAACACCCAACAAGTTCATTAATGTTTAGAGGACACTGGTCTTTGACACGGATTTCTTTTGTTGTAGTGGAGAAACATTTTTAGTTGAGTACGTGACTATTGAGTTTTTCTGTGTAAGATGGAGCCTCCATTTAGATTGAAGTCCAAACCATCAGCTGCCAGTCGTCATTAATGAACGGCTCGAAAAGCCTGTTCCCTTCAAATGAAGACGCTTCGTTTTCTTAGTAAAACATCTTTTTAAATCACATCTATATTTGTGACGCTTATTCTACTCCTGTTCTACATTCAAGGTGGCAGTGGCCAGAGGATCCTGTCTGTGTTGGTAAGACTAGATGTTCCAGATGATCAACAATGGGAAACACATTTACATTTTCCCTCAAGAACAAATTGACACTACACCCCTTTATTAAGCTGTGGATGGGTAAGTTCACCAGAACAATAAACAATGGTGTTATTTCATACATTTATGCAAAATATTCTCTATCTTCAGATGCTCTGGGCAGGCGTTTATTGTGTTGTATGAAGGACCTGTTTTTTCATGAATAAAGGTAGGTGACACTAATCTCACTTGAGGTGGACTCGCTAGCGTTTGTGGAGCTTTTACCTTTACAGTCTTTCTCCATGTTTGCATTGTACAAAATTTTGAATATAGACCTTGTGGTATAGGCAAAACCTACAGAGCTGCTAATGTATTCCAGTATCGTTTTGTTCAGAGCTGTATTGACTGTACTAGTATTTGATGGTACTTTATTACTTGCTGTATTTTGGCAATATGCACAACATTGGGACTAACCATACTTTGCATAGATGATATACACCAGGGGTGGCCAATTCCAGTCCTCGAGGGCTGCTCTCTTGCTGTTTTCCAACTATCCCTGCCTGACCTGGAAGATACGATCTTAGATGAAAGTGGAGTGAGGAAAGATAGTGAATTGTTCTCTTCCAGCTTCTGACTAGCTGAACACACCTGACCCAGGTAATCAGCAGCAGGTCAGGCAGGGATAGTTGGAAAACAAGCAGGACAGTGGCCCTTGAGAACTGGAATTGGCCACCCCTGATATACACTATCTTTGTAGTTCATTTCCCCCCAACTTGCTTGTTTGTGGCCACCACTATTGCTTCATGAAAGGCAAGTAACTGTTAAACAAATGCTGTATTGAAGACTGTGCACCCGAAGAGTACGTCGACTCCAGAACTTGTGAGGCACGTGGCCCAGTGAAAACAAACCAAAGCTTTGTGGGCTCACCACAAACAATTCAGATGGCGAGTAAATTGTTCAGGCCATTGTGAAATAAAACATTCCTTCAGTTTAGTATTGCTTAAAAGTGGAATCTTTTTACGAGTGGTGCTTTACAACTGCAGAGTAGTTTAAATTACTGTTTTAAGATCAAATTTGCATGGCCTGCTTCAGAAATTGAGGGTAAACAGAAGTGAATGTTTATAGACTTGATGGTGATAAGCCAGTTTTGTTCAAAATGAAGAAAACTTATCAAAACCAATGTGATGGGTTCGTATTATAGAGCATATGTTTTAAACTCAAGCTTTTCCCCATTTCCCTCCTAGGCAATCCTTAACCAGATGTCTCTGTGGTCAGACCATCAGCAGCCTCCTTGAGGACATGCATAGACAGGCAAGTTTGTTTACAAATGGACCATTTATTACTGCAATCACAGCCTTAAACTTCTCTTTCAGCCACTCCATCCAGCTCAGCCAGCTGCTGAAGTTTTGGGTGAAATGGTAAATCCCTACTGATGGGTCATCAAGGTAGAGTATGTCGCATCTTTTCCATGCTGTTGCACTGCATGTGCCTGGACCACAGTTGTGAAGACTTCTCCAGTAATGTGAGGTACTCTACCTTGTGATCCCACCAGTAGGGTTTTCCCATCTTACGCCGGAACTTCAAGGGTACTCTGTGTGGGAGAGTGTTTTAAGGGCCCTGACTAAATGTTTAACGGGGCTTCTTTTTTTTTTTCCTTCAATAAAGCTGTTGCAACATCTAAGATATCATGCACTGGTTTAAGTCTTTGAGTTCTTTGTTGTACTTCATCTAAGCCCAAACCTTCAGCATCGTGTGTAAAAACAAAAAGGGTACTCTGCAGGGGAGGTAGTGTTTTTACAGGCCAATGAAGGACCAAAACACTTAATATTTAAATATAGGGGTGTTCCAATTAGTGTAAAGCAAAGATCATGGCAGGCTGTATACTATGGGGGCGAAGACACTCAGTGCAATGTGGAAAGTATACAATTCTACAAGGTTGACTGCAAAAGCAGAGTTACTACTATAAAATGTAACACTGACATACACACCAAATCGGGCATAACTGACTTCAGTGCAACACTTCTGCCTTAACATTTGTTTATGAAGCTCAATATTTCAGTTTTTGGTGGTGTTGTACTGTACTACATTATTCAGAGGGTCAGAATATTAGGAACACCTCTAACTATGACCTCAATGAACATAACTGAATTTAAGACAATCTCACCAAAAACAAACATTTTGAGCTTAAACACAAATGTTAAGGCAGAAGTATTGCACAGAAGTTATCAATAACAAGACTGCATACCTGGATGTAAAGTCAGGTTTCTCTGCAGCATCAAGGACAAATTCCAGAGCCATGGCTGCCTTGTTTCTGGCCATTTGGAGGATCAGAACCTGTGACAGTTGACTCAATCAGCCAATTCTGCCAAACAAGTTTATCCACAGTGAATTTAAAAAAAAAATTCTATTTGCTCACTTGAGCAGTGGTCAATCACTTAAGACAATGTTTACCATAAACATTACAGCTAGAACACAAAGTTTTTACTAAAGCAATACAGGCTCTGAACTTTTGGCACAACAACAAAGCTTCATTATCATACTGTAAGTGAAACTGTTACAGTACAGTTCATTCTGACCCTGTGTACAAACAAGATGCTAATATGCACATCTTACAGCTGTCTTAAATCATATCAAACTAGGAAGTTTGTCAGTGGAAAACGGGTCACATTGGAACAAAGAATGAACCGTTGTATGCTATTACATTGGGCTCCATGTTAGTTTTGAGAATTTTCGTTACAATATATGAAAGTTGCTCCAACACTTTTGAAATTAGTTTGTCAGGAAAAAAAATGGCTGAGAAATAACAGTCTGACCTGTCGAACTAAAACACGTTTCTCACCTCATCAACTTGCAGTTGATGTCCATATGTAGGAGTGACAGGGGCCTGGAACGCTGTCGGTCCTCCTCACACCAGTCCCGTATTCTTGTCCATGCGTCCCGTGGCCTGTTGAAAGATACATGTCCAATAATGTCTGTCCTAGTTATAACAATTAGTCTTATCATAGAAAGACAAACCTTTACAAACTAGCACATTTTACACAAATAAGATTCATTAAAGGACTATTGCATTCTTTATTCGGGTTTCTCAGAATATGATGCACTTTGAGGCTAAACGGGACTTTTAATGACAGTTTTCTCTAATCGGTTCATATTTTTTGCACATCCGAGTCTCTCCTAGCCTTTGCTTACTAGTCTCATTAATGTAGTAACAGCATCAAACTGTGGGGAAAAGCACTGTAACTAAGTAACTGAAGCATCTGTACTTATTTTTAGTTTCTGCTTCTCACATCTTACCATACCTTTTTACTCCGCTAGATTTATTTGATAACTTGAGTTTATAGTTTCTTTTCAGAATTAGATGAATAAAAAATAAATACAGTATAAGCCTAATAATGGGACTTAAGTCATCTGTGGTGAGACCTTTACAGGCTACTCACCGAAGTTCAAATTATCCCTACCTTTACCAGCTACAACATTAAAATGATGAACACAATAACGCACCAGAAACGCACCTGTAACAGGGCATCTCAGTAAAAAGACGCCGACAGGTTTACGACCTCACCGGGTCTTCATCAGGACGGAAACTTAACAAATTGTTTGCACCTGTATGTTTCCGTCCTGATGAAAACCCGGTCAGATCTAAACCGGCCAGCGACGATTAATATTAAATATAAAAGACATTTACATTAATGGGACATGTAAAACTAGAGGAGTTCTTTCATCTACAAGACTACAAATCTAACAGTTACAAGTCAACTCTAAGAGATTTCTCCTAGACTGAGCAGGTTTCACAATTAGCCTGACAACTGACAGGGCTGAAAATGTTATTGCTAGCAGAGGTCGGCTAACGTCCTACATTAGCATTCGGCTAACGCTAGATAAAGTATCCCACCTGGAATAGAAAACAAGTTTGGACAACTGTGTTAACAGCGATGCAGCTACGCGCTGCCTACAGAACGCAACACATGAAATGTTTACTGTGATTTTCTACAACTTTCTAATACGACCCACCTGAGTAGCAGAACAGCTACCGCTGTCGTCCATCTTGAATCTCCATTACAATCAAACTTACAGAACCGCCACTGGAGACTAACTTGAAGAACCTAGCTACCACCTGATTGGACAATTTGACTCTGGTCTGTGATTGGACTGTCACTGTCTAATCAGATTCAGGTGTGTCATTCACACCTTACCTCAGTACGCCTGTGCATCAAACCAAGCTGGTCTTTAATCAGTAGTGTATGTGAAATACGTCCCCACACTGCCAATGGATAGCACTTTAGTATAGTAAGTTGGGGTACCATTCACTGTCAGGGCACAGAGTCAGCTTGGGTCCTTGGGCAAGGCCCTTAATGCCATCTGCCTAACAAGAGAGTAGAGTGAAATGAATGTAAAAAACATGAGAACACATTATTTAGAGAACTCTATCTTACTTAGTAAGTCATCTATCTTAATAATAAAGTAAAGCCGGGGATGTGAGAGCAGCAGACTGCTTAAATGCTCCTCATGCTCAAACTTGAGGGAAAAGGGGATCATGGAAGAAAAGACTGGTCACTCCTTGGAAGAAAGGTATTCTTGTTTGGATTTGTCTTTATTTCCCTTGTTTAATTCATCAGGAAATACAGCATTGGTTGTTCAGGATTCTTTCACAATTGTTTTGCAATGCATCACTCTTTGAACAACTTCTATTGTCTATTTTTATGAAATACTGTTAAATTAATATGTTGGATTGATGCTACTGATTAACTTACCCAGTGTTCACACTCCAGAGCTGATTTCAGCTCATTTTGTGTAATCAATCCAAAGCAGAACTAAGCAGGTAAAGGAATTTTATTCAATTTTTCCAGAACATCATAAATAGGAAGTCATCTGTAACAAACACCAGCCAGGTGTTTGTTGACAGCATCTCTGTGAATATATTTATAACATGCAGAACTAATGTGAATTTTGTACTATTGAACTGAAATATGGTTTATTCTTCAGATCTAAGAGCATATTTCAAGATACTGTGTGTAAATTTCATCAACATTATATTGGCTTGCAAAGTTAACTGTAATTACAACCAGATCCCCAATAGTAACAATACCACATACCTGATAGCCTCTGCAACACTGCCGACTCTGTACACCAAAGTAAGGTAGTCTTGTCAAGAGCAAGCTTTATTTAGTTAAAAAAAACAAAAAAAAAACAACGCCAAACCATTACATTTTTCTAGTCAGTTACACAACAGGAAGATGCATTTCCTCTTATGTGAAGCAGGTATGATCTCTGGGTACTGATCAAAACTATGTACATTAGAAAATAAAGTACAAAACTGTCAGTGTGAGGAAGTTGTCTTATAACAACAGGTACCCTGATGACGGCGATGACAACTGCACAGCTGACTGCAGACGACGAGGTGAGGATACACAGAATTGAGTGTTTTCATAGCAGTGGGTTTCAACCTGGTGAAGTCCAGTTTTATAGGCTCATTCCCTCTGTTCCATCTTGACTTTCGGTGGCTTGAGGAAGGTCCTGTTCTTCTTCTCCTTGCTCTTGCCTTTGGCCTGGAAGTTCCTCCAGCTGTCCACACGCCCGTCTCGTGTTTCCTGAAAACATAATATGATCATTAAATGGGGAACAAAAAAGTCAAGACAACCATAATCATAGTGGAACGCACCTCAAAGTTTTTCTGCCATTCTCTCTCACGCTTTGCTTTCTCTGCTGCCTCAATTTCTTCCTCTCTTGCCCTTTTCCTGGTAAATTTGGAGAAAAAGGATGACTTTCTAAATGAATATATGCCTTTCTTTCAGTAGTAAGGAAGAATTATATGCTTTTTTAAAAATCTTATCTTTAAACACAATTTCAAATTTTTACTGAATGAGTAAAGACAGGTTAACATTTAAGTCTTATAGAACAAAACCCGAAATGTAAATATACCATGTGTAATTTACCTTTCATGCATTTCCTTTGCTTCCCTTTCCTTCCTCTTGATTTCAAGCTCTGCGAACAGCTTCATGGTTTGTTTGTACACTGCTTGCTTGAACTGGAAAGGGACAATTTAAGATCATGTAAGGACAGTGGTGGAAGTAGTACTCTGATTATTTTGTTTACTTAAATAAAGTAGCAATACCACAGTGTAAAGACTGTTACAAGTAAAAGTACTGCATTCAAAATGTTAAGTACAAAAGTATTATCAAATTTACTTAAAAGTACTCATCATGCAGAATGACAGATTTCACATCAATGTATATCATATTATTAGACAATTATTGTGAATATCACATTTAACATTGCAGCTGGTAAAGGTGGAGCTACTATTAACTAACTTATATGGCTCTAACTTGAAGTACTTTAGATACTGCTGGGTAGCTTGTGAATTTCCCACCAAGGATCAATAAAGTCTTATTATACTGTATTTTGTTTTTGTTTTATTTATCCACAGTGGGTACGGAAAGTATTCAGACCCCCTTAAATTTTTCACTCTTTGTTTTATTGCAGCCACATGCTAAAATCATTTAAGTTCATTTTTGTTCCTCATTAATGTACACACAGCACCCCATATTGACATTTTAGCAGATTTATTAAAAAAGTAAAACTGAAAAACTGAAGTTGTAGAAAGTCAACCATCACTAACTAATTTCCTGAAGTATTCCTAAATATTTCCCAGAAAGGCCTATTACAATTTGGTACTAATTATGGGTGGAAATGGAGAAGGTGCTATTGGTGTTATTAACAAGTACCCACTTGTTATATTTGAGTTTCTAAGAAAATAAAAGTACATGTCAATATCCATCAGTATTGTGATCTAATGTCTTTTTCTGCCTCACTGTGCATTTCTGTGACTTACCAATTCAGGGTCATCCTCCTCCATATCCAGTGCCTTTCCTTCTTTCTTCAACTGTTTCTTTTTCTCCTTCACCTGTTGAGAGCACAGAGTGGTAGAAAGCAATATGTTACCAACCAAACAGTCAGAGGGCGAACTGATGCCAGTGTTTTCAAGGTCAAGGATTTTTGGAACCCTCACCATATGCTCTACATATTCCTTTCCTGCATGGATCACATCTAAGGCTCTCTTCTTCTGTTCAGGATCCAGTAGGAGTTTGTATGCTTTGTCCACAGCTAGAACATAGTAAATATTCAGGAGGTATTCAACTTGAAGATGGTTTCATCTATTAACAGCACGCACAAAAGCACAGGCATGAATATTGTTGTATTTGTTAATGTCATATGAAGCCACAATCGTAGACTAGATAATAAACTTCAATTGAAAATTGGGGGAGCTAATATAGAACGAGTATATGAAATTAAATTTCTAGGTGTCATAGTTGATGACAAATTCTCCTGGAAATCTCATATCAGATATGTTCAGCACAAAATAGCAAAGAATATATCGATATTGGCAAGGGTTAGATATATTTTGGACGGGAAAGCACTACGCATTTTGTATTCTTCATTGATTTTACCATACTTAGAGTATGGCATTGAAAACTGGGGAAATACATACAAAAGCTCACTTCAACCATTGTATATATTACAAAAAAGAGCGATAAGAATTGTGCATAAGATGGGGTATAGGGATCACACCAATGGAGCTTTCATACAGTCTAAATTGTTAAACTTTTTTGATTTAGTTGGATATAAGACTGCAGTGTTTATGTATAAAGCCAGGAGCAATTTATTACCTGGTGGAATTCAAAAACTATTTAATGAAAGGGAAGGGGGATACAATTTAAAGGGTCAGTTAAATTTAAAAATTCATGCTATACGTACAACCAAAAAAAGATTTTGTATTTCCATAAGCGGGGTAAAACTATGGAACAGTTTGAGTGTAGCCATAAAAAATAGTAATAGAATTGACGAGTTTAAACATAAATATAAAGGTATGTGTCAATCAAGATATATGCAAGAACAGGCTTAATGATTAATTAGATGGAACATTGTGGGTGTGGTGTATGAATGTTAACACCTTGTATTAATTCTTTAGTATGTTACTTGTGTGGTGTAGAAGATAATTATTTAAGAATGTAATTATGTAAGAATGTTAACACTCTGTTATAATTTTTTTAGTATATTACTTGTGTGGTGTAGAAGATAATTATTTATGTAGAGATACTGCTTGCAAACCAATGATGGTAAGATGATGTCATGGGGTAGGACTGGATAAGTCTGACTTCTTCCTACTCCATTCAAGCATGTACTAGGTATAAGCAAATTGATATTGGATTAGCATTTGTGGATATGTGTAAAATTATGTGTGTTGACATATCAACTGTCTTTACATGCTTGAAAGAATAAATCAAATCAAATCAAACATGAGTTCATCAGTTTAATGAGAGCCTATCTATATTTACTACATACTATATGTAAATAAGGATGTAAGGAATTTACCTTCAAAGGCTTTCTGTGCTCTGTCTGGATCATCCTGATTTTTGTCTGGATGGACCAAAATCGACAACTGCAGTCAAAAAGACCAAAGATTAGGAATTAAGAAATAACAAAAAACTATAAAAAAAGGGAGTACTATGACTATTTTCCATCCACAGATAAGACTATTGAAATATCTGTTCTTTTGCTTACCGCCCGAAATCTCTTCTTCAATTCATCATCTGTTGCATCTGGATCAATTTGCAGCACCTGAAAGTGATATGAACATTTTACTGACATAACCAGTGTCACTGCTGCATTAGTGATATGCTGAAATCCAGCTACTCTAAGAGTTATGGTAGGAAATAGATAATGGCAACATTAATAAATAAAAATACCGGAATACTGAAATGCCACTTTGTGACCAATTAAAATTAGAAATTGAGTTCAAATTCACAACATTTTACATTACTACAATTATCAATCATTTAAGTTATTTATTAAATAAAGATAAATATTTTACACCTTCCAAGATATGTTGCTAGCATCTCCCCATTTCACATTATTATAAATCAATATTTTGGGTTATTCATTTGTTGGTCAAACTCACTTTGGGTAACTCGGGTAACTTGTGTCATCTACCAGTGTTTCTGACATTTATTAACAGAAAATTAATTACCAGATACAGTATTGTGCAAAAAAAAAAACTATAAAAATACTGCTTATCCTTAAGAGGGTAGTCGGGGGTGGTACACCCTGGATAGGTCACCAGTCTATCACAGGGCTGACATGTAGACAAACTACTCACTCACTTACTCCTATGGGCAATTTAAAGTTGCCAATCAACCTAAGCTGCATGTCTTTGGACTGTAGGAACAAACTTGAGTATCTGGAGAGAAGCCACGCAGGCACTGGGTCCAAATCTAGAACCTTCTTGCAGTGAGGCAACAGTCACAGTTCATCACTGTTCCACCATGCCATGCATTATTTTAATAATGGTTTAATATTTAGATTCTTATCCATCATGTAATACCATAAGGGAGGCATGTGAGTGCTCCAAAATACAGTGTGCAGCATGGCAATAACCCCAGACTAAGTCAGTCATAGAACCACCATCTTCCAAGACAAAAAACAAGGGGTCCTGCAACAGATTGTCTGGCCCTCACAAAGCCCGGACTTCAGCATCATGGAGACAGTCTGACATTACATGAAGAGCCTAAATCCACAGAAAAATTCTGCTAAAGTGTATTAAGAAGAATCACTTCTGGTTTATAGGGAAACGAGGTCACACAATATTGAGTATTTTTTATATTTAAGAAATTTATACAAAGTTAAAATGATTAAAACTACTCATGGTATTATTTTTATTAGCCTTCTCAATTCACTGTGAGTGCCTAACACGTTTGCACAGTGCTATATAGAAATACTTCATCAGTACCCTTACCTCAAAGGGATTGAGATTGAAGTAGGACGAGCCAGGTCTGAGCAATCTGTCTATCTGCTGCTTGGAGGTTAACACAGAATCTCTCTTCTCAATCTGCTTCACCTGTCAAAAAGATGGAAACATTGTAAAATACAACCACAATCCATCTGAAAATGCACTGGTTGGTTATGTTTTAACGTTATTTTTCTGGTAATGTATTAATGCGGCCAGAATTCAGGAGTAAGGTGATGACTAAACAGAAAGCCTTTCAGAGAAAGCCTGACCTGAACCACATTACTGCCCAAAGCGTACACTGCACTGCAGCAGTCTCTCATTTATGAAGCTGCTATACAGAAGCCGAACAGCACAATAACTAGTATGTGTCAACCTGTGATTTCGTTTAAATAACATGGCTGACACTGACAAAACGAAAGCAAAAATACCGGTGTCCTGACAACACTAAACAGACGAAACTGTAAAAAAAAAATAATTAAAAAAACCCCCATCTCAGTAACGTTGTTAGCTAGCTTCTTGTTGTTAGCTGAAGCTCATGCCTGCATGACAGCGGGCGATAAACATTGCGGTTGTTGAGAAACAGAATTTAGCCGATGTACAGAAAACGACACTTTCAAAACACATACATTCATACGAGAATTATCGTACCTCCGTGTAAAAGTTTTGAAATAATTCATCCGACACAGTGTGAGATGAAGTCTCTCCTCCGGGTCCCGCCATCTTCCTTCAGGTTTACGTGGGACGTACACACATCACGTGACTACATGCAACTATCTCCTTTCTTTTTTCCCCCAAATTTAATAAATATATTGGCAAAGTTACATTCGAATTGCTCAGAATACGAAAATAAATTTCACTGTACATTGTTAAAACAGAAACCTCAAATGACCGGCAAAACTCGAAAAGGCATGCTAAGAAACGTCATTCAACAATGTCGCTTGCTTTATTTTGAAAAGACAGGAAATGACAAAACTTCCAGTAGGTTTCCGCCTCTACTTATTTTGGTGCGTGTTAAATTATGCACAAGAAGGCCGCACTAGCAATAGTTCCATATTATTTAGTATAGTAAATTATTTTAGTAAAGAAGACACCCCGACATTAAACAACCGAGCTTGGCATACAATTATAAAGAATATGTTGCAGTGTCCTAAAAACCGGAACATTTTTATGCATAAGATACTACCCGTGTTTTGAGTCTCGAATGCCCTGAACCACGTGTTGCCAGATATGATTTTACCCGTAATTTAACCACTGGGGTAGCATGGTGTGGATAAAATGAGCAGTAAAGGCATGGGTAAATTACTGCCTAGTTACTGTGGTTCACCCATTATGTTTACATGCCCACCTCCATTTCAAACGGCTGTGAATGGTAAAATGTGTATTTAGAAATCTGTTTGTCAATGTAAAAACCATCATTGGACTGATTTAAACACAAAATGCATAATGACTTCCAAAGCGGTGATTTGTGTGAACATTGTGAAATTAATATATTTCAATAAACTGTAAATATCCATACACATACATGGCTGGGAAATAATATGTACTGAACAACCAAGAGCAACAGATGATTTTGCTTTACAGTGATAATTCTTTACGCTGGGCATGGCAGCTGTCTGCTGATGGAGTTCTGGATAACAGCATGTCCATCTGCTGTATCCTATTCCTCTGCAGTAGGTGGAAAGACAAGCATTAGAATATAGTGATAAACTCATGGAAGACAGTTGATGCAAACAATACAAATGCTACAAGAAAAAGCTTTCTTCATTACGAGTAGCTGCAGTCATTCATAAGTATTTCTAACCTGTATCTTCTGCAGAGCTGTAATCAAGGAAGCCAGCTAATGTTCCCTTGAGTACTAGACCTCATTGCACAATCTTGTTAAGTAGTTCATTTGGAGGAACATAATCACATGATGGTCTGGCCAGCACCTTGTAGGAATCGTACCCTGAATCACAGCTAGAAAACAGCCACACAGACAAGGATATGTTAACAAATCTTTGTTGATCAGGTCTAAGCATCAGCATGACTATCAAAGATGGACTCCTGTCTGTAGTATGATGCAATATATCTATAACAACTGAAAAAAAAGAATGCAAATGCATTCGATGGGAGGTAAACAGGTCATAAAGAGACAACTAAGACATCATAAATAACAACATTTAAAACTAGAAACATGGTGAGATTTTGAGTATTAGTTAAAATAATGAACAATCTTACCAATCAGTCCCCTCCATTTGTGTGAACTCATTCACATGGATTGGGGCAGCTCCTTTACTGCCTGGTGACAAGAGGCAACATATAAAGACACAGTTCTGACATGAGAAGCTGATAAAGAATGTGCCAGCATTTGATGTGCACACCAAAATATGTAAGTCAGTTGGTACAGTTTGCTACTAGGGTTCCTACATCCCAGTCTTACCTGTATAAATAAGTAATGTATCCCATCTACTGCCATCTTGTGGTGTTAAAGGGTACATACATCAGTTATGAGGCACATCTATTGTTCCAACATAAGCCAATTACACTAATATTTCATTCAGTATCCCCTCTACAGTCTGGATGCACTTTAAAAACAGCCCCTCTAGTTAAAATCTATCATTAAGTAATGCATTTGCAAGTCTGGAAATAGCCAATAAATGCAGCATCGGTCAAAACAATAGAGCACTAGTTGTGCCCGTGTGGAACTCCTACCTCTAGTGGTAATGGAAGCATATTACCCACTGCCCTTAATTCATAGAATGTGTTTACAGACAGCTAATGTGGATTTGGAGTTGGAAGCCAAAACGGTCAACAGATGTTTGGGGACAGAGTTTTGGGGTTTATAGTATTTACAAAATCTTGACCGTCTGCCTTTGACTGTTAAATTCATGCTGGTAACACAATTTTAATATTTCAAAAAATTCTAGTCAACTTTAGTTATATCCTTGATATCCTGAAAAAATCCTACTGAATTACAAAGCTTCATTTGTAGCACAGTATATCAGAAAAGAAGCATTACAAAGTACAATTATGGCTAGTGTTTCTCCAGTGATTACAATTAGCTACAGGAGAGGAGACAGTACTCTGTGCAAGGCTAGCTCACCCTGGAGTACCGTTCAGGTGAGTTCCTCATTCTAGTGGTGCCGCTCTCAATGCTTCTCCACCTAGGCAGGTTGGAATAAGAGGACAGACACATGAAACAAAATACAATACCATGGTACTAAAAAGGCAGATGCTAAAAACACTTGTGTAACTACGTTATAGGAATTTTAACCCTTTGGATGGTCACAGCCACTGTCTTTAAAAAGGAGAGAAAAAGTGAACAAGTGGAACATAATGAACTGTAGGCAATTCAGCACCAAAGTGCAACTCCATTCAAAGTCAGATGTGTTAGTTATCAGGACGCCAGTGTAAGTGACATCTCGCCGATATCCAAGACCATCTTTGTCAATAAATGCTGCATGAACAGGTGTACACAGTATATGCTTCAACAGACATCAACCTATCTTAATAAATACGTTTTGTTAAAAAGGTGTGAAAAATACTATAGTTGCAAAACACAGGAATTTTACACCTGGTAACATTTGGGATATTTATTTCTCAGTTTCTTCTACTGCATTAACATCCTTTGGAAATTTGCACACAGTGTCTTCAAATTGTTTAAGCCACATTGGTTAGAATGTTTCTCTGGCTGCTCTGAGCAGACATGCTATGAAGGATGAGGTTAAAATACAGACAGGAACCATGTAAGGCCACGTGTAGAGTAAGAATGTTAGTGAATTATGAGTAATTGTTCATTAAGCATCCACAATTTTCTTAGGGATAAATTTACCTCTGCAAAGCACTCAATGTTTCCCGTCTTCAAAAAAAATGCATAGAACATTCACTTAAGGTAGGCTGGAGTTGACTAAAGCATACACTGTTTACTGTGCACACAAATTTTGACCAAACATAATAATCTTGGTAATCACAAGATGTCAGAATTACAGTTGGGCCCTTTCAATAACTGCCTGTATTGCTGGATTGTTCAATGTACCAATTCTGAGTGACTGTAGTCTAATGTAACATGCACAGAAAAATAAAGGGTTAAAATCCTGTTTAACTATCGTGCCATCCAAACACCTTTGTTTTCTTGTCCCGTGGTCTGACTCACAGTTTCAGTCTTTTGTGATTATCCTTTGAAGCAAAAACAAAAAAAAATTGACTTGGAAAAGAAGATCTTTGTCCAAATGTGAGAATTGAGGTAAAATCAAATACTGAATGACAACACTTAATTTGAGTATCTGACAACTGACTGATGCTCAGCTGAGTTTTATTGAAACGAAACAAACGCAAAAGTTATAAATACAAAGAACATCAGAGAACAAACTACTATGGCTCTTAAGGTAAGCCAAACCAAATTCTATTGGGCAAGTTCAAAGAAAACATAGGAAGTTATCAGTTTAAAAATAAAAAAAAAACACAATTTGTCTACTTCTAGAAATGCTATGCATACACTTATAACATTACAAAACTTTGATTTCTTCCTTCCTGTGGATTCTTTTCTCCACCACTGCAAAAAAATGAAGTATGAAGCTCTATCCATATGCATTTATTTACAAGCAAGTCCCTATGCAACTATGAGAAACCACAAATAAAGGAAGTACAAGAAGGAGAGGGGAGGAAAGCGGCACGGACAAAAACTTCCTGAAAGGCAGTATTATTTAATGTCCTCTCAGACTTTGAGAATCAATGTCCACTTTTTTGTAAATGTTCATTGTTGGCTTTAAAAGAACCAGGAACAAAAAGTAACAATAAAAATGTTTTGAGTGTTTTTATTTTTAAAGACAAATGTCCCAATGTACAGTAACCGCAGGAGTAAGAAATGATTCACCACAACGGTTACGTTCACTTCTTCAGCCAAAAGGCTTTCCAGCCAATCATCGCGAGCCAATTCTGGGGTCTGTCCATTTTTTTTCTGAGATGTACAGATTTATTTTCATGAAGGGTGAAGAATAAAAAGTCAATCAAAAATTCTGGCCAATCTCCATTTTTTTCCTTTTTCTTTTATTGTTGTTTTCTCTTTTTTTGATGTAACTTTGCCAAATACCTTTTGATGCATCTACTTCCACTGCTGCCCATAAGAATCCTGTGAAAACTCCATGGTGTCATTACTGTAACCATAGTTACCGGAATAGTCGGCCCCTTGCTGCAGGGGCTGCTGGGCGATGGGCTGGGACCCCCAGTTCTGTTGGTTGTTGGTCTGGCGGCGCTTGGAGTCAGGCTGGTTAAACACGTCTGCCTTCCTCTTTCCGCCGACATTTCCTCCGCGATTGCCCCTGGCCCCACGAGGACCACGGCCCCTCTGTGGCTGGAAAGGGGCTCCCCGCCCTCCTCGGCCACCCCTCGGACTACCAAGGGGTGGTCCTCTTTGGGCATAACCGCCTCTGCCTCGTGCAGGTGGTGCTCCACGAGCCCTAGGTGGAGGTGGTCCCCCTCTGTTGGGACGGGTACCACGACCCCTTATGCTGTAAACATCTTCGTAGCCGTAGTAAGGGTCTTCGTAGCCACCACGGTAGTCATGATAGTCATAGCCATAGTAGTCATCATAATAGTCTTCGTATCCATAGTAATCTGGTGGATAGGCATAGCCCCCTCGGCCACCACGACCCCTGCCTCGGCCTGGTGGTGGCATGCGTGGCGGTGGGTAGTAGTAGTAGTAGTCATCATATCTGCAGATAGAAAGGACCGTGTTACACTGACTTACTCAAGTGGCTGACCAGTCACAAATCTGTGGCTCGTGAACTCACCCTGCATTCCTGGTGGTCTGCCGAGCTGCTTGGCGCTCTTTCCGTTTCTTGTCTGGGGGTTTTGCCAGGACTATCTCAATTTCCTCTCCTCCTAGCTCCTTCCCGTTCATCTCATCCATTGCCTTAATAAAACAGAATTATCCATTACAAAAAACAAACAAACAAACAAACAAACAAACAAACAAAAACAAAAAAACACACCTTAACAGCAGCATCCCTTTCTTCAAAATGGACAAAAGCATAGTCTTTCAGTTTTTTCACTCGCTCTAGCTTTCCAAACTGCGAGAATGTCTTTTCAAGAAGCTCTTCAGTCACTGCTGTGGCCAGCTTCCTGACAAAGAGCACCTTCACCTATGTAGACAACAAACAGGATTAACTTCTGAAGTACTGCAGAGCTTGGGTTCCATCTTCTGAGGAGCATAACCTAACCAAATGAACCTACTAACCTTGGCCATGACCTCTGGGTCTGGCTCGGCAACGGGGTCAGCCCACTCTACAGTGACTGGGTTCCCCCAAACCTTGACCTTGCCACTCATTAGGCGGCGGCGAGCCTGTGCTGCAGACTTGTGGTCCTCATACTCCAGGAAACAGAAGCCACGGTTCTTCTTCTTGTCATCAGGCTGGTGGTACAGTATCACCTCTTGCAGACCCTCTAAAGCATAAAACAATATCTGTAATTCCTTGTAACAGCAAGGCTCAAGTTCCAGCTGCATCCTTTTCCATTCCTCTTATCCTTCAGAAAGAGGATTTAATTTATAGAGTTTACATTTGAAACTAACCTGTAACTTTCCCAAAGTCTTCCAGTATACTTTCTTTTGTCTTGTTCTTTGGAATCGATCCAACAAACAGGCGATTGTTTGCAACAGATATACACACTCCCAAATACTTTCCAGGGCGGATTTCATGGTTATCACACTGAAAATAAATTGGAGACTATGTGAAATACATGACAAAATAAACCACAACTTAAATAATGAAGCCATTTTCTAAAATGTCCAATGTCCTTTAAAATCTGTTATACTGTAAGCTTGCATAGTTTTTTTTTCAATATCCTGCCATATTACTTACAAGCTTCACAGCCTTTTGTGCATCATCCTTATTGCAGTATGTGATGAAGGCATAACCTCTGTTCTGACCAGACAGAGGGTCCATCATTAACCTGAGGTCCCAGATGGCACCAGCAGACTCAAAGAGTGGCACCAGCTCATCTTCATACAAATCCCTGGGGATTTTTCCAACAAACACCTGAGAAAGAAGAGAGAAACAAGTGTTAGGATTTGTAAAGCTCAATATACTGCCTGACATTTAGGCTTTTTTTGTAAATTATACTGGAGCAAAGACCCAATTATGGACACAGTGTAAAACATTAGAGCCATCTGTTAATCTATCTTTTGCCAGTGACTTATCTACCTCAGTTCCAATCCCTGGCTGTGCCCCTGTGAACACATTCTCGGGTGGGGGACCTCCATATTTTCTCTGCCCTGTGGTGACATCCAGAGTGTATCCTGTCCGCTCCAAGAGAGCCTAGAAAAACACAAATTTTTAAACTGGGCTGCATGGATGAAAAAGCATGTTTACACGACAGTCTTTCTAAACTACACAGCAAAGCTCAGTCACATGATTTTGTTTACCTTTATTTTCGCCTCATCTGGGCCCTTGGTGGACTCTTGTACTTTACTTCCCTGTTTTTCCCTCTGTCTATAAGTCTTCATGACTCCACAAAGGAAAGCACTTTTATTCTGCGTTAAAAACAAATTAGTTATTTGCAACAACAGACATGAACATAAAATACCACTTAAAAGGCAAAAAGGAATGACATGCATCCATGTGCTTACCTGTACATGGGACAGATCACTCTCTTTGAACTGCTGCAGTACAGTAAGTGCTCCCTCCTCATTGAACTCCCGCAATGCATCAATAGCCCTTTCATCCAGGTCAACATATGCCACCAAGCCTACGATTAAAATGCATGGTCACCCTTAGCTAGAGTAGATACCTTTTTAGTACACTGGCATTGCATATAATCATATTTAATAACTGATTTAAGCTAAAACAACTATTACCCACCTGTCCGGAAGATATTATCTAGACTTTCAGCCACTTTCAGGGGCAGTCCAGCATCGAGGAGTGTCTGGTAGTTCTCTGTGTGTGGTGTTGTCACATCCATGGGCTCTTCTTCTTCCTTTACTGGAGCAGAACTACCGTTCACCTCAGCGGCATCCATTCTCCTGTAACACAACACCCCCAAACAATGCAATAATAAAAAGATTATGAATGTATTTTCTTGATCAAGTATTGTGATCCCTAGACAGATTTGAAGCTTTACCAAAAACAACATTAACATATACATCATATACTGTTATTGAACTAAATAGTTTTTAATCACAAATAATGGCCCATTTAACTAAGACCATTACTGTAATTCCAAATAAAGACATGGGACAATTTTAAAGATCATAGCAATAGATAAATTTATCCAAATGATGTATGATGACTTAAACTGAAGTAAAAAGCTTCAGGTATTTAATGTCAACAACTCGGCCCGGTCACTGTAAGAAACCACTCAGAGCCAGCGTCCCGCCCCCTTCACATGCCTCTTGCTAGCAACGAGGTAGATATTTTTTATTTTTATTTGCACCGGATCTTCCTAGGCGAACGCAATTTCTAGCATCACTTGGATGCTTTTTACAATTTCTAGATCAAATTGTATTACCAAAACGCTTTCTCGTTTTGCGGCAACAGTATTATTACCTTGCTGGTTAGCTAACGAGCTTATACGAAGGCCTCGACGTGCAGAAAGACGTCTTTCACAAATCAAACATAAGCGTCGTATAAGGTGCAAATACATAGTTAGCAAAACTTACCAGTCTATTTCAGAAAATTAATTATGGCTTTTGTTTAAATGTGAAACAATTGACTTGTTGCACGTACAAAAATGTCTAATATGAAGAATTACGTTTCTAACCCACGAGACAAATTTCCAGACAGCTACGGTCTCCTGGTCGGCTCGCCAGAACAACGCCACGGCTCTTCTTCTTCGTCTTCTTCTGAGGTTTATAGGCGGTTGGCAAACAACGAATAGGTGCATTACCGCCACCAACTGGTAAGGAGTGTGGTTCAAGAGGCAACAATAAAACGCCACGGTTCACCAAGCATTGCGAGGTGTAAACGAAAAAATGCGAAGTAAAATAGGTGTGTTTGTTTTGACATGCCAGGACAAGCATCCTCATATAGAAGAGCAAAAGCTTACAAAATGTTTGATACACAGCAACTTTACACGGGGGATGAAAGGAGCTTTACCATAGTTTGATAATAATGGCAAAACTTGATGACATAAAATCCAAGTTATGTAGCTATACAAATGTGCATGGGTAGGTCAAGGACTGTTAGTGGGCAACATGGTGAACAAAAACGAGCGCTTTATCATTACCCATCCAACCACGGAGGTTGAGCATCATCTAGTGAAATTCCCTTTTCTAAATGTACTGCATACAGGATGAGACACTTTCCTATGAGTTATTCAAAGTACAAATAATTGTCATTTTGGCAATAAAGGGGCTATACAGTAACACACAGGTTGAAAAGGTTTCATGAAATGTGAAAAATTAAGTACTTTATTGTTTTAAGTATTCATGCTATTAGTGTGGAATCTTATACAGGACCTGCCTTAGCAGCAAATTAATATCTGCTAATCATTTACATGGCAATAAGATCTCAGGAAGAGGAATGATAACAGGCTTCCGAGATTCAATCATCATGTTTGAGCTTTCTGATTTTGCCCTTGTGGCGGTCAATCTCCTTCTGTAGGCGCTCAATCTCCTTTTTGTGGTGCTCGATCTCCTCTGTGTGATGCTTCCTCAGTGCTTCCATCTGCTCCTTCTCTTTCTGCCTGCAGGTGGAAACAAGGTGAAGAGGATATGGGGTCAAGGATTTTTCATGAGGTTTCAACAGTGAGACTACTAATAAAATGGCTTTTTTCTCACTTGAAGTACCGCTCCTCTTCTGCTACTTCTCTCTTTCCAAATGCACCCCCAGCTTCCCTCACAGAGCCACCTCCACCTCCACCTTTGCCTGCTCCCTTGCCCAGCTCACCAAGCTGTTATAAGCAGTGGAAATACCATATATAGTACATGTATATTGTGTCACAATTTACATCTAAAGCACCACAAAGCAATTTGGTTGGTAATATGAGGGCACACGAAGTAAGCGACTGACTGACCAGCAAAAACCAGGTCTGCGGTCAACAGTCACATCATCATCCTAGATAATGGACGCTTTGATCTTGTTGTGATGCGCGCCTGTCTAGGTGCATGTACAATGCTCGTGCACGGTGCTTGTTATACCTCGGGTCGCGCTGCGCAGGACATGCAAAACTTAAAAAATAAAAATGACACCGTGTTCAATGAGTATTGTGCACATCAATATACATATAACAGATACAATTTTGATTAGTGATCATATTTGGAGGATTGGCTTATGACCAACGAGACATTAATGTGGCTAATTAGTTGACCAGTGGTTCTCTTACGCGCTGGTATATAAACAAATATGTCAAACTACATTTTTCAGTGGAAAATCTTACTGAGATCCGACCTGGCAAGTCCGCCAGTAGGCTAGCAATCCGCCAAGGTCTGTTAAAGGGGGTGTGAGGTTACACACTGACTGGATATTTGCATGTTACGCCTAAAACACACTCTTGTTTTAATGAGATCAAGTGTAGCCCTGTGTTTGATGAACCGTTTGTCCTAGTTGTCAAATTGCCGAAATGAACATGGACACACCCAAACACCATTTGTGCCAATACATCTCGATCAGACACCCTGGATCCTCAGAACAGGGCCCATACAGTCACCAGCCACTTTATTAGGTACACCTGTACGAATGTATGCACTTCAATGCAACACGTCGGCCTTAACATCTGTGTTTATGAAGCTCAAAATATTTCAGTCGTTGGTGAAATTATAAACACTGAATTATGTTTATTATTGAGACGATTTAAAAGTCTTGCGGTACTTGACTACGTTATATTTAGAGACGTCTCTATATTTGTCATCTCCAGCTACATAGAGGAGAGGGCCAAAATATTAGGAACACCTCTGACTATAATGTGGCCTAATACAATATTGCTTTTAACAGTGATGAATAATAAACATAACTGAATATATACGTTTATGACAATTTCTCCAAAAACACGCATTCTGAACCTCGTAAACAGATGGTAAGGCGTTAAGTGTTGCATTAACTTGCATACAATAGTCCATGGTCTGGATACATGCTATTGTAGCTCTCTGCTCTGACTAAACAGCAAGCAGTGTCACGAAATTAAAACTTCTCCAATGAAGTGAAGAATAATTTGGCAATTTTCGAATAATGTGTATGTGAGGAACATTACCGTTAAGTGCATACATCTGTGCTTAATAGCTACGTATTAAAAAATAACGCTAAACCAGCAAAATCAAGCGATCTCGACCACACACGTTAGCGAGTAGCTAGCCCTGCTAGCGTCATCCGTGAACAACTCCACTGGTTTTAGCAAACTAATGCTAACATCCAAAGTCTTCCGTTCCCAGTTTACCTGATCAGATGCCATTCTAATCGGAGAGACTATGTATCTTCTTAAGTTTGCTGACAGGAGAAACCTTGACATAATGACTCAGCGACTACGTACAGCGGAGAACAGCAAACTTTACTGTTTCTACTAATAGACGCTCAAAATGCGGCATGAAGACAAACACCTCGATTGCACGCCTGTTACCGCCACCACATGGTTAGGGGTAACTGCAGCCTTGCTTATGTACAGTTGGATATTTACAGTGGTTTAAACGTTGCAAGATATGCAGCTGTGCCAACGTAAAAAAACAAACGTGGATTGTATAAGTGCTCATACAGAATTAAAGCAATTTCCAATTAGGACTGACCACGGAAACATTTTTACACATTCAGTTGACCTGCGGTGCACTGACGAAAAGACTGGCTTACACAAGAACTTAATCAAATGGTAGTGTAATAATTGAGCATTCTCCATTTCTTATATTATTGTACCAAATTACATAATTCGTTCCAGGAAATGTCTATTAAATTATCAGGATATCACTGACTCATAAAATAAAGCGTTGCTCAGATTTTATGCAACAGCTCATTAAACTTCTCTTGTTGCTAAACATGACATGATGCTCAGTTCATGATATTCATAGTTGTATCTTCTATGATTCTCCAAAAGAACTAAACTGTGTGATGCTGAAACTGCATTCAGTGTGGACAATGTAAAACTATAGCATTGTTTTGGGGAAATTATTTAATTCATCTACTTTTCCAACTGAAGATTTCTGGTCAAAAGCTCTAGGGGCCTGCACAGGTACAGTACATTCTGGCCAGGTCTCAAGTCAAATAGAGATGAGTAACCTTCAGAAATCTTTCAGATGCAGTGACACAGAAAATCACATTTGGAGCAATACAAAATATAGATTTCCCCTCCTTCCTTTGTGTTCAGCCATTTATACTTATCGATCACGTCTAAGAAGCTGCACAGACCTGTCTAATTGAGTTCATGCTTATATTTTGTAACCAGAACTCAACATATGCCAATTTGACATCCCTGTGCTGTGGTCCTATTACTCAGAAGAATGAGACTTATCTCTCAAATGCTGGATGAGACACACCCAGCAACACAAAGAGAAGGTTTGACCTGTAAAGTGAGGTGGTTTGGAACAGATGAGTCATAATGGAGTCCCATTGATGAAGAGCACTCCCTGCCAGACGCTACTCATTCCAGAGCAGTGTGTGTGAGCTACTGTCCACAACACTCCCCTTTCTTTGCCTGAATCCAGCACAGTTAATTGTCAACGAGAGAGCGTAGGCATGGTGCTGTTCTGATGATGTGCTGCATCCCGTCAGGCTGTTCAAGTTCAGTAATGATCAGGATGATCTGGAAACCTCTGTGAAAAGAAAAGCAGGCAGACTAATCAGGGCAATGTGTTCTGCAATAAAACATCCTTAGTCTGTAAATATGCAGGGACAAATCCCAGAGACAGGAGGTATAAAAGGTTTGTACACAACTTAGAGACTGTGCAAATGGTGCAAACAATGAAAAGCGTTTGTGTAGTTGGTTATTTGATTTTCCAGTATAGATCCAAACACTCAGAGAGACATTTTGGACATACTTTTCCACATCAGCAAGAGGGGCCTGAGGTAGTAACATCCTTGGAACAAATGGTGGCAGTACACTCTCACACAGATGGAGAGCATCTGCTGTGGTGCAGTGAATATCGAACAGGAATATGTTCATTCATATAACATCCATATAAAACCATTTCTTCCCTTATGATGGAAGATAATCAAGTGCTCACTGTTGAATGGAAATAGAGCTTCATATTGAGCACTAAGTATTGTCGTGAAGTATAGGTTCCTATATTCACAGAGGATGATGGTTATTTTGCATTTGTCACATAACTCACAATGACAATTGTCAGAAAGCAAAATAACATGTAAACCCTTCAATAAGATGGCTAATAAGAGTAATGAGTAAAATGCCCTTGTTTCTGCATAGATACAGACATACAGAACTTTCATGCGAATACCTTCTGATGTAAAATGACTCCCGAGGACATAATAAATCATGGCTGAATGTCACCGGAAGTAATTTTGTTGTGTTTGGGAGAAATCATCAGGTACCACACTGAGGCAATCTGAGCTTTGAAGACTGTTCCTCTGTGTGGCTGTGCATGTGTTTCTTTCATGGCCATGTACGGTCTTCCGGTCTACAGGGTACAGAGCAGCCAGTTACCTGAATTCTTTCAGAGCTGCTCACCTCGCTGGCTCAAGTGTTGCTATAGGAAATAGTATCCTGGCAACAGCACTAACCTGAGCAAAGACAAAGTAAGGTCATGCAGACAACGAGATGTGGCACAATGTTCGATCCATTCTCATAACCTCTTCTTACAAGGTCATTCATTACAATATTGTCATTATATCCCTTCAGTATTTTTACATTATTATTCTTTAAAACATTCACTGTAAATTTACATTATACCTGCACAGCTCCATTTACTGATACAGCCATTTATATCATGCATAATATGTATCATGTGACTTCTACCAGTGCACTATCAATAATGTGCCATGTGCCTGCCGTGTGAAATTCATTCTGGGGAAAAAGCATGCTGATAAACCTCTGGGGATGTAGGTGATCAGGATTTCAACACATATAGCCGAGATAATAACGTTGTGTTGGAAATGACAGATACCTTTCTTTCCTAGGAACTGCTATCTTGTGGAGCATGTTTATGAAACATACATTAAATGTAAATTCAATTGCATTAAAATTGCATTGCAGGAACCTGCAAGCTATGATATCTGTCTACAGAATCTATCTCTATCTATTAAACAGTGTATGGCTGTATAATATTAACTTGTCCGTGTGTAGAGAAATACAGCACCAGTAGCATAGTGTTTTCTTTTGGAATTGATTTTGCATGCCAACCACTATGACGCAGGCTGATGTCAGTCCACATCAAAGTATTAATGAGTTTCTTTAGCTGCTAAAAAATTCCTGTACACAGCTAAATCCTCTAATGGAAAGGTCAGTGCCAGCTGATTATTAACAGGGGCACTTACAAAAAAAATACCAGCAACAGCAGTCCAGATAGCTCCACCACTCTGCCTTCATCGTTCGCATTCTTGCAAGTTTCAAATTCTGATACATAAAAACGTTTCCTTTCACCTGCTGATTTTCTCTTAGCATTCAGATAAGAGGGTAATATGCAAAACATAGTCTTTTTGCATGTTTTATACTTTAAATCTTTTTATTTTTTGTGTAATCAGTATAGAATATACATAAATTTGTCGATTTTAATTCATCAGATACATCATGATTGTTTTGATTTGAAGCATGAGTCGTGCATGTGAGTAATAAGCTATATTGTAGTGCAGTATCTGAAAGCCATAACATTATTAACTAACTTACTATTTTTACTAACTTACTACTCCAATATTTTTAACAATGAAAACATGATTTTAAATTAGCACAAGTGACACACTCAAAAATATAAAGGTCAGTTTGGTTAGCAGGTTATATACCACCCAGATTTTTGGAGGAGTTTACAACAACCACTGATGAGGACAAATCTTTTCATGATTGGATTCTTAATGTCCTGTGTCTTTTCCCCTATTGTCTGAATTCCTTTTGCAAATGCCTTCACCCACTGCTGGCCAGCAGGTGTCACTGGTGCCACCAGAGGTGTCACAGAGCGTTACATACCATAGCCACCCACAGGTTACCTCTTTTCATATACAGTAGATCCTCAAATACCATCTGGCAGCTGCCTTGAGGAGTGACAGACACTGTAACAGCACATCAGAGGTGACAACTATGTGCCGCTGCCAGTATATGAGCTTGTTTTCACTCCAGAGTCTGCTGGTGCTGAAACGCCTTGTTGCTAATAGCCTTCATGAGATGTCTGGATGTTGCCATGGTGACATCAGGATTGATGAAGGGGTCCAGGGGTCTTTGTGTTCTGTACATACAAGGAACAGTGGCCGACATTATTTACCAGATTTGCAGGCAGCCTAGCAGTAATTACAAGAGGATTTGACAATGTAAAATCCACCAATCAGCTCTTTGGAAAAAGTAAAGTTCACTTTTTACTTATTTTATTAGACTTAATTTCTTATAGCACTGTTGCAGCTTTCACTAACAGCTGCATTATAATGTAAAAGGGTTTGTCTCTGTTAGATTGATAATTGAGCACTTTCTGCAGGTCATTGAACAGTCTGGATTAGTGAAACATACATGTTTATGAACAGGATTTTCCAGCAGCTCTGTTAGGCTGTACTCAGATACAGTTCATGGTGCTTTTGTTAGGTGCCGTTCGCACCAGTCAGTGTGCGAACGAGAAAGAGGCGGTAGCCGACTTCGGTGCATGCAGTGATTTATTATATACAGTGATGAAGGGAGTAACAATACACAGAGGGAAATAGTACGTAGTCCTGTCGATGAGTAGTAACCGGGTGTTGACCAACAGTAGGAGGCGAGGAGATGGAGAGCTGGGCCGAGCTGCGTAGGCTGGGTCACTCCTGGGCTGGTCGGTGGTGATGGTGGCTACTGAAGGTAGAGACAGAGAGATGAAGGCAATAGTGGAACAGACAGGCGACTGAGCATTGACCTGCCTGGGAGGGGAGAGTGGAGCCACGGTCTGGAGGAACAGTCCATGGGGGGAACACAAAACAGTAGCTGGCTAGGGGATAAATACATACAAAACAATGAAAGAGCACGGAGAAAAAAATGGCCTAGAGACGAGAACGAACTGGCAAGTGACTGAGGAGTGAAACCGGGTAATATAGTGAGCAACCTAATCAAGTGCAGCTGGTGATAAGGGAGTGAGGAACAGGTGAATGTGATTAGTGTAAATGGGCCAGAGACAGTAGGAAAGGTGAGGGAGGCCAGAGCGGCCGAGCAAACCTGACAGCTTTGAGCTAACTGCTAATGTTTAGCAGGTATGTTGTTTAATATCTTAACCTGGCAAGTTAGTGTGCCACTATTTACCAATTAGCACTAAAATCGAAGTACTGCTGAGGGTGATGAGAACGACAGGCTATAGATCAATAAAATGTTCACCTGATCATAACACTAAATGAAAAGAAGTCACCCTGATGAGCTATGAATAAATCCCTGCATCCAACAGTTGTTGAGATGTTTCATAAAAGCTCTTACAATGTTGCTACAAGAAAAAAAATCACCAAAATCATGACACATCATCAGGGAACCAGGAATGTTTGTAAAAATGTAGATGCTGAGATATTTCACAGGGTTAATGAAGTCTTTGACCTGCTGGTAGTAATAAAAGAAATGCCAGGGGATCAGCCAGAGTCAATATGATTCTGACAAAGATTAAAATGTGCACAAGATTTAATGGCAATCCATTTGATAGTTGTTTGAGATATTTAAGCCAAAGTGCATAGACTGACAGACCAAGATTGCCACCTCTAGTGCAATGTTCAATTTCCATATGTCCCCTATCATTTCATTTAAAATGGTGACTGCTCATGCAGCCTTACTATTGTCTCACTCCTTTGTGACCACACTGAGTCTCAGGTTCCTGCTGGATTCCATCAGCATTAATGTTGGTTTTTAGTGTCCCCTAGTCCAGTCAGTCCTTGGGGTTAGCATATGCTCTGAAAGTAAGACAAGTGGCAACACCCTCCACAAAAACACTCTCAAGAGACTGTTGGCATTTAGCTATGGCGCACAAACACGACTGTAATTCACCCCATCTGGCTTTTGTCATTCTGAGGTAAAGAAACCACATGGGGTTACAGTGATCCTTTATCAATCCCAGTAAGGAAGGAAAGATCAAGAAAAAGAGAAGGTATGTAGAGTTTGAACAGATATGTCTAAGTTCTTAATTCAGGTAAATCATAACATAAACCTTTGCAGGCCCCTCTCGTTGTTTTTGTTCCCTGATGTTCAAATTTTAAGAACAGGGTGTCACAGTTCTGTAAAACAATTTCAATACAACATGTTTTTAACAGATGAAATAAATTGCTGTTTGCAAGACTGGTACTGGGTCACTGACTACAAATAAAACTTGATGGTCTAGCTTAGCTAGGATTTTAAGACAAATTGTGCATTTAATGTTACAGTTGAAATATAACTAACTTTTTGGTGTAGGTTACTTACTAACACATCCCCTTTGATCAAGCTGAAAGGGCGTATTTCCAAATATAGCATATGGTGATGATCACACAAACACCTGCGTTAGCACCGTGCCCACCTGGAGGCCAGGTGAGCACCAGTGTTGTGTCGAGGTGTTTCCCCTCAGCAGAACCCTACCTGTATCCTAACTATAACGATAGAGGAGGGGGTGGGGGTGCAGTGTGGGTACTAATATCAGTTTTAACTGGGGGAAGCACATCCTGATGGGGGGACAGATTTCAACACTGGACTGGTGCTCGCGTGTGTACACTGGAGGTGTTCAGGGACCACGATGAGTGTAGGTCACTGGTGTTTTGAAGGCACTCAGAGTCCAATACACAATCAATTTGAGATATCTAGCATATAGGGCATGTAAACAGGGAAATTCTTTGACTTTGGTCTGATGCTTTTGCTATTCTTATGTGCATGTCGCATCATTAATTATTTCATGCATAGACAACCAAAGTCTTTCTTCACTTTTGTCAGGATGTTCCCGTTCTTTTTGTGCTCAGTATAATACTGTGTGCTCTGCAGAGATCACTGAGCTGGACGACGGGCCATTCAGTCACCGAGTCACTGACAATTTCAGGAATAACATGCAGGGTCGAATTGAACATTACTGGTCATCATGATGTGCAAATGATCTTTTTCTTCCCCCCTTGGATCACATTGTCAGTTGCAGAAGAGCGCTGAGGATGTTTGCCAGCACAGCCTTAACCCATCTGACTGAAGTAGAACTATATAAATTAGTTGCAAATTTCTTGGAGATGCAAATTATAAATTATTATTATACTGTAGGTATTCAGATGTATACACATTACTGCAAAAAATTTTAGACGTTGAAATGGAAATGTCACACTGAGGTTAACAAAAGATAACCAAGTTAATTAAGCTATTTCATTTCCTTAAGCTTGATAAAAAGTTGCTTACAGGAGATTAGAGCAATTTAGTGTTAACATTTCTACTGATTCACACTTGATAATGTAACAATTTCATGTACCCCTGACAATCATTAAGAAGATATTACTGCATAGAAAGAAATTGCATCTTCTTTTTCTGTTCTTGCACATCTCTTCAGGAGTTTTAAGACCTCCCCTTCACCCCTCTTGAGGAATAGCATTTGTTGTTTCTATAGCAACACTCCTCAATTAAGAGACAGCAGGGCCTTGCTGTTAATGTCAGCAAGGTGCTAACTGATACTAGATTTCATCAGGAGGAGATGGGGGTTGAGATGAATATCAGGACTTGTGTGTGTACAGGATACAGGAGTGTGTGCTGGAGGTGGGTGGAGTGCAGTCATTGACAGCTTTAGGATGTTAAACTATGTCTCACAGACACATTTCTGTTTACATTCCTCATGGGGACATTACATTGATTTACATTCACCGCCTGGGGACTCAGCCTAACCTCAACCATAACCACTAACCCTCTAGCCTTAATCTCATCCTAAACATAAGTCATCACTCTAAAACAATGATTTACACAGTGGAGAACAATCTGCTCCCAAAGAGAAAGGTCGAGTCCCTGCAGTGGGAGTGTGTAAACAGGTTTTGGTCTCCACAGTGTGACTAAGGCCAAGTGCGCATGTGTGTGTGTACGTGCACACACAGAGACTTCATCTGTATATAATCAGTGGTGGAAGAAGTAATTAAATTCTTTATTTAAGTAAAGGTAGCAATACAACAGTGTAAAAACACTTTGTTACAAGTAGAAGTCCTGCATTCAAAATGTTCCTTAGGTAAAAGTGCTAAAGTATTAGCATCAAAACATACTTAAAGTACTAAAAATAAAATTACTCATTGTGCAGAATAGCACACTGAACATTCTTCTGTATCATATTACTGTATTAGAATTACAGATGCATTATTGTGCATACCACATTTAATGTTGCAGGTGGTAAAGCGTGAACTAGTCTTAACTAGCTTATATGCATTTAATTTGAATTACTGACGGGTAGCTTGTGAATTTTCCACCATAGATCAGTGAGGTCTTATAATTATACTGTATTTTTTGTATTAATCTGGTTATGAAAAGTAACTTGTAATTAAAATGATAAAATAAATGTAGTGGAGTGAAAAGTACAGTATTTGCATCTAAAATGTCATTGTAACTATCTGCAAGTCATGACTTAAATGAAATACAAATAAGGGGCTACAGTCTCTCATATGGTGCAGTTTCAGAGTCACATTTCAGATGCTGCAAAATTGGCTCCAACAATAGTGCTTTGAATTGCCATGAGCAGAGTGGGTAGACACTGCACAAATGACTTTTGGTGTGAAAATAAATTAGCACAACATGCTTCATAAAGCAGAAATTATTCAGATACCACAGAGAAACAGTGCATTTGATGTGATGTGGTAACAAACATTAAATGCAGTGAAAATGGCACCTAATAAAGCACCATGTACGTAGAAGACAATCTGCTCCTCAGATGACCTCACAAAATGAGCATAGCTCAACAAATGGATGATGTAAATATCTTTATGCATTTGCCTTGTAGCACAATTACAGCACAATGGTTCAGTTAAACTGAAGAAGAAGAACTGATTATTTGGAGAAGAGAGAAAGCAGAGTAAAAATATAAAGCAGGCAAAACCAAATTTAAGATGAGAACATTTCCTATCTTTAAAATGATCACTTATATTCTAGCCTCTGTTGTTTTTGTTTTCTCATTACTCAACCTCATAGCTCATTTTCTCTGCAATGATTTGCCTTTCTACAAAGTATGAAAATAGAACAGAAGAGAACTGCACACTTTTGTTATTTAAGAGAGATTGCTGTTTTTTGTACCTGCAAATCACATCTATATTTAGAGAGTGAAATGCTTGCCAGAGGCTTTAAGGTGCAGGAGTTCAACATCTGTTTATATCTGTCAGTTCTCTTTTTCACTTTATCTTACTTTTGGGCCTTTTATTGTCAGATTCTGCTGTGTTTTGTTCTGGCTTTGGATAACACTGTCAGACAACATGCCAACAAAGTTGTCAGACAACAAAGTTCACTTTGCATGAGGAGCTGTTTGTTCATAAGTTCTGAATCAGATCATTGCTACAGTGTGTTTATCAGCCAATAATAGAAAACCACATTCTTAATTCAATATAGATGTGTTTTATTAGAAATAGGTCACATTCATTTTGTGCTGTGAAAACTGTACACTTACAGGAGGTAAAACAGAACATAAAAAACTAAGCTGTGACAAAATACAAATGTGTAATCAACAATGAAGTAACTCTAGGTATGAACCGAGTTGTGGGCAGGACAGAGATATTTGAAGGGACAGGGGAATTGGCTGGTAGTTCATACTGTTGAATTACTGACAAAGTTATCAAAACACACTGTTACAGAAGACATGAGATTCAATTACCCATCGCTACACAGCAGAGAGTAATAACAAACATCCTGATGCACAGTTTAGACATATTCATAGGCTATCATTCATTCTATATAATGTTTGCCTTATAGAAGTACAATTATCTACCTGTCACAGAGAGCTCCAAATATGGAGTCTTAATATAAATTCCTTGAATTACTAATACATACTTTTAATACAGTCTTCTCATAAAGCATCTATTTTCTCTGTAAATATGAGGAAGATGGTATAAAAATTTTGAAACATTGGTAAGAAAAAAACTCTGCCTAAATCGTAATATCAGTCTTGCTTGAGCATCAAGCACCCATCATATTGCACTATTTCACACTGATGGCTGAAAACACAAATGTGTTGAAGTCTTGAGGACCCGATGCTGCACGGGACGTGATATCAGCACCAGGAGCCTCTGCTCAGTCCAAGAGTCCTGCAAGGCTGAGAAACAAAATGGCGATGATGAAAGATCTGGCTGCCTTGTTGAATCCTCATGTACAACATGGAAGAGCCTGCATCTTGTGCCAGCTGAGAGGGGACGATATCCCACGATTCCATCCAGCATTTCCCGGGGTGCACTGCTCTTCCTATGTAAGAGTCTGTGTTCATCCTGGTGCTGGTGTTTTGGTATTGAAGCAGAATGCTTAAGAAACCAGGACATGTTGAGATACTAACCACTATCTCCATCACCACTCAGTATGTTTGTCCCATTGCAGTTCATATGGGCTCACAACACATTACAGATGCATTGAATACATTTTTTTGGAGCCTAATGTTGTAGGTCACATTATAAAACAATAAATCTTGTGCCTGACAGTCATGAGGGGAATGAAAAATCAAAATATAAGCTAAAAAACTCAATATTAACCACAACAATGATAATTGTAACACTGACAATAATCACTGGAATAATAATAACCATGGTGGTAACAACAGTGAGAAGCACTATTAGCATAATTAAGCCTGATCTCCAGTAGAGGAGTTATTTTGTCAGTACAGTGAGTCTCATATTCAGAACTGATGAAGCACTTCCAGGTATGAAGCAGTAAAAATAAACACACAACTGAAAAAATAAAATAAAGTAAAATAACTCACGGCACAAAAACAAAATGTGTGCGCCCATTTACCAAACATGAAACTGGTCCCTTATGCTCTTGTGCATTGTCTTATTTCGGAAGGTAACTTGGCTAGAAGACAATCAGCCAAGTGTTCCGGCTGTTCTTCCCGAGAAGCAGGGAGGACATACCGTCTAAATGTTATTATATTTTTCTCCAAGGTTGAGTTGAAGGAAAAAAGAAGCACAGACATGTTGACCACATCTTCTGAACCCAGGCTGAAAGGTTCGGGACACTCCCAGCGAAGCATTAATGGAACCACAGCCAGTCCTGGTCCATGGAAACCACTGATCACTCCACTAACTCTTTGCCCTTCAGAGCACTCGGACACGAGATGCTTTAAGTTCACACAGAGAAGCTACATTAAACATCCCATCACCAGCATCTCCACTCCTCCATCCCTCTTTTTCTTCCCTCCTCCCTGCTCTGGTTGAGGGTTTGAAGACATTGATTCTGGGACCTATTTTCCCACTTCCTGCCTTTCTTGGTTTCCTCTACCCTATCCATAAAGGATCCCATTCCCAAACCAAAAAGGTGACAAAGGTGACATCAGGTGGCTTAGCTACCCCACCTCCAATCCCTCAGACCTCTGTCTGCAGGTCGATGATGTCCTGCCCCACTAATGGGATGGTAGTGCTGGTCTTCTCCCATTCCACAGAGTGCAGCTCCAAAGGTGAGGCAGCTAGAGGCTCCAGGTCTTTGCGCACCCATGCAGGGGGTGACTGTGGTATTCCCCGGACTCCTTCCCATGGTCTCTCCAGAGGGGCCTGCTGTTTGTCCTGTTGAAGCACAAAGAGGAGCCACTTTAACACTGGTGTCATTCATCAGCCCAGAGCAATTCCTGATTTAATCAAATTGGAAGGGGCTTCATTACATCAGAAATGATTTTCTAATAATGAAAGTAATATTCATTTGGGCAAATTGCTCCTCCTTGAGGCAGCTGTAATATCTTATGGTGTGTCTTGGCTATACAGTAGGCAGTCAATTTTAAGATTGTGAGGCTGTACATAGACACTCACACTGTGGTTCGTTTTGTCACTTCCTCCTGAAGATACACTCCATCTCACAGACTGTAAGAAGGAAGGAAGAAAATACATTCCATTCAAATGACCTCAAGGTATCGACAACCATAGTTCAACAAACAAATCAGTGGTTGTTTTATAAGGTCATTTTTATATGAAATAATCTTTTTTTTAGAATTGCCTCTGTTATATGTTTTTACTCTTTATTTCCTGGATATTAATGTCTATGTAAATGAAAGAAGCATGTTGTTATGATGTGTTTACCTTGGTGTCAGAAGCAGGTGACTCTCTATCTTTCTCAGCATGATGTAGCTTCCTGTTTAGGTCCTGGAACATGTTCTGGTGGCGTTTCTTTGTGTGCATTATTTTCTACAGGAAGCAAATAAAAGCGATTTATTCTCAAAATGTACAGTTGTTATCATGCATTATTATATATATCACATATCATTTATTGTATATTCTTGAGAACAGGCAGTGTCTAAACAATGCTTACCTCAAAGTCCAACTCAGCATAACGAGATTTCTGTCTCTGCAAAGACAAAGAAAGTTGGGTTTAGTTTCAGATGCATATTAAATACTTAAGGAAATTATTCTGCAAGAGATAATACTTTGGCATATGTCTTACCTCTAAGGAGCTCATGGACAGTGTGGAGATGGTCTCACTCTTGGACATCATGGAGTTCATGGACTCAAAGGTATTCTCCAGGCTGCTGTGGGTGATGTGAGACTCGCTGGACATGTTGTGGATGTTCTGAATGGGTGAGTCTCTCTCTGAATACGACACACTGACCTGGTCGGGAGGGATTGACTTGATCCCGAAGGCAGCCTGGGGCTCAGCAAAGGGCCCGCCGAGGAGCATCAGCCTGGCTTGTGGCAGCGGATCCATGTTTATGTTGTATTTTGTTGGGTCATCTTTGGGCTTGGACCTCAAGGTGGAGGTAGTGTTGGGCATGAGGACGTACCCACTGCTGTCAGAGACACTGCCGTCCACCTGAGCCAGAGCGAGATCGGCATCCATTTGTTTGAAAAGCTCCCCCTCGCAGACATACACAGGTTTCCCACAAGATGGGTCGATTCCTGCAAGTCGGCTCTTCTCTCTCTTCAGGGTGAGGGTGTGGCTGGAATATTCGGGAACCGCCTGCATGTGGCTCTTACTAGGGTTGGATGGCAGGGTGTGGAAGTTGGAGCCCATGGGAAGTGGCAGCTGAGGAGGAGGCATCTTCTCTTCAGAGGAACTCTTCATTCCTTTTAGCAAAATAATAAGAGTGTTGGAAAAACAATGAAGAACCATGCCATATCTGAAAAATTGATTCAGCAAATACAGCATGGCCTCTTATTATGTATGATCAGATGTTTTAAGTGCAAGGCGCACAGAGGTTGAAAATGGTTGCAAATGGAAAAATGGTTAGGGGAAGGAGGAAAAAGTTGATGTACTGTGAAAGGGGCTTACCTTGTCTGCTTGAATCTCCATCCTTTTCATTATCAGATTGCTGATAAAAGAATAACAAATGTTCTATCAGTGCTTAATGTATGCACATATTCATTTAAGGGTAAAATGCAAGAGGCACTCAAGACATTAAAAAGGCAATAAGCCAAGAAATTCACCATAAGCTGGGTGTGGCCATTGTGAAGGGAACTGCCAGAGTCTCCATTGCCGTCGTCCTTGCGGTCGACTACTCTGCACTTTACAGCCTCTTGAACCTAATGGAGAGGAAAAAACATTTTGCTCAATCTACAGTTCATGTAACTTCAATAAAGACAAACTTTCCTTTTTGTTTTAATTCCTATGACTTTAATGGATCTAACTGTTAAATTACCTCTCTACGCAGGATGCAGTGAACCATAACAATGATGAAACCCTCCAGAGAGTCGAAGACGGCAAAGAGGATCTGGAAGAGGGCAGAGCGGCGGTCGGTGATGGCCAGCACAGCAGACATCCAGGTGAGGGCCAAGAGAGGCAGAACTACACAGGAGCTCCACAGTGATGCCCTGCAGAGTGAGGAAACAACAGATTTAACACTCCAGGCTCACTCAGGCTTCAAGGGACTTTTGTTTCTCAACTGATGAGGGCGATAAGACCTACCCAGCTCTCTCCTTCAGCTTCACATCAGTGATGCCATCTTTGGATACCAGCTTGTTGAAGACCAGAATACCAATGACCATATTCACCTGTTTAAAAGAAGAATGAGATGAGACATGGATGAGACACTGTGTTAATGGTTAAGGCATCTACAAACACATTGCATTGTGATAGACTGGGAAGTCAAAGTCAGAATACAAACCAAAACAACAGCTGCAGCAGGGCCAACAAATGAGTAGAGGAGCCCGCCCTCAAGAGACAGCCAGCAGCTAGAAAAAAGAAGGAGGAAGAATATTAATTCTTGAGCTAATGGCATGCTTTTCTCAGAATAAATGCAGAGAAAATACAAAGTGCAAAAGTGGCCAGCTGAGACTAGACTTACTAGTTGACATTGCCATATCCCTTAGCTTTTGTGAAACCCACAGACACAGCCACCACCAGCGCTGGAAGTCCTGCAAGATAAAAACCCACATGGGGGAAAGTTTGAGCCTAAAAGTTTAAAAAAGCAAAGCTAAAAAGCGATAAAAATGTAAGTGTTAAAAAAGAAAGATGAACATAAAGACAGGTGCTCTTACCCCAGCCTAAGCATAAGAAGCGCTTGCGGATGATGCGGTTGCGCAGACGACCAGTGACAGCCATGTAAGACTGCCAAGCTTCTGTCAGCACCCAGCAAAAAGAGGAGAGGAAAAAGAAGTGCAAGAAAGCAGCTACGAGAGTGCACACCACCTGTGGGAGCCCAAGAGGAAGGACAGATAGAGGAAAAATGAGAAATCTGTGTCAGTGGCATTGCTGCTTCCAAAGTCCCCAAAGCAGTGAATTTCAGAGGTTTAAAGAGGAGGTTAGAATGCCTTACCTTGTTGCGAGTCTGAGTTTGTCCAACAAGAATGAGGGCATTGGAGCATATAATGGAGAGGCAGAAGTTGATGAGGATAACAGAGCGCTCGGAGCGGATGTACCTGAAATTTTGAAAAAGGGAGAAGAGACAAAAGAGTTTAGGGACGAGTAGGCAGAGCAGAGAGAAACCAGAGCACATGGCATAATTGTCAGAGCCTGACATGGCTGGACTTTACTCCTAGGGTTACTTACTTCCAGACGGAGACATAGATGATGATGAGGAGCAGCAGGGTGAGGGAGGAGACCCCACAGCCAACGATGAGAGTCACGGACGGGAGCTGAGCCTTGTCCATGATCTACAGAGATGAGACAAGACCAAACATGCCTCTTAGAGCTGAATACAAACACACATACAAGGTTATGCAGAAGGGAAAACAGCACTGAGATCCACGTGCACACACTGGCAAAGCCTTTGGGTGTGCGCTATCTGGAAAAGCAGACAGTTCCCTGTAGGCGAACAGCTGAATGGCACAATCAGGCCACGGCTGAAGCAAGGTGACGCCAAGGTGAACACGTCAGAAAGATGGAACTAAACAGGCTAGTGTCACTGCATTTCTCCCAAGTGTTTGAGTCACAAAATTATATGAGGAAACTTCATATATACGTATATATTGCTCCCCACTACAGGGAGGGGGACTGTTCAGGTCCCAGGGGCAGTTCGGGGGGTTGCTGTATTTAGTCATTTGTTTGAGCTACAGAAACCTTCTGGCCAAGCAACCGGAGCTTCTGTTTTAATCACCAATTGAGCTGTGTTTAAGCATTTTCTCACTATGTTTTGTGCCAACCAGCAGCTCCTTGGCTATCCCCACAGGAGTGAACAGGTGGACCATTATCACTTGCCCATTAATCTGCCATCACCTGCCCTTCTGATCTCTGACAGCAGCTTAGCACCTGCCACTGACAGCAGCATGACCGCCCCATGTTCCAAACAGCCCTGGCACCGAACCTTCAGTGGAGGAAACAGAGAAGGGACCGTGTTGCCCCTCTTTCCTGCTGCTCATTCATCTGGATGGTCGATGGGTCAGTGTTGCACACACAAATCTCGGCTCCTTGAGATTTCACAAAGCTAACAGACCTACAGCGTCTCCAGCAGCTAATTGTGCATTTTCACTCTGTTCTTAATCTTTGTCTCACACCTACTCTAGTGGTTTAAATAGTTATTTTGAGTTTATCCAACACTTCTGATCAAGTTGTCATCACCACATAGTGTGTCAGCTGGATAAAAATAATTTGGGCTTTGGATAGAGAAGCCCTAATCTGCATATGGTGTGATTATAGTTTTGATAATGTGTTGAGAGGGAAAACAGGTGATAAAGGGCTAAGTGGCTCCAAAAGGTGGGTAAAAAATGATCAGAAATATAATAAATCTGCATGTATCAAATGAGCACCCATGGGGGGAAAGAGCCTGTGCATTCACTTGATTCGTAATGGCCACAAATTCTTATATTGCAAGTATTTACCTTTGTTGACAGTGTCTCCAAATTTATACACTACAATTTAAACATTACAATTTGCCTTGATGGATTGTTCTTCTCCATCTAAAAATATGCTCTGCATAGATTCACCTGATATCAAAGCACAGCTGGCGAAGTCCGGCCTACGGCAGCCAAGGACTGTGGCAAATTTGTTTCAACAGCTATCCAACTACATCAGAAGTGCTCCAAAACAGATGGTAGATAGAAGAGCAGCAAGCTGTCTTTTTGCTTCACCCTTTACCAAACTGGGGGAAAAAATAGCATGAGACACACAGTATGTTCCCTCTCTTCACAGTCTCTGGATCTTGGCTGATGCTCACACCACAGGCCTCAGCCAGTCTGACCTAAATAAGAAGCATGCCTTCTCACTGTCCTTGACCAAGGCATGTTCTCATTTTCAACAAATCTGAATGAAATAAAGGAAGAAAACTGTGCCGAGAAATGCACAACTACACATTCACATACATATCGGGACTATTGTGTTTTCAACAGAAATGATGCTACACGAGTCCTGAAATCAAATTATACTGAATGAGAGCTAATACACTGCAGTACTGGGCTGTTTTTCACATCTCCTCACTCCTCTCTGCTTCTCGCTGGTGTTTCTCATATGGCTTGCAGAAAGATGTTATTGTAAAATGTCCACAGCACACATCAAAGGATGGATGGAGAGGCGGAGGGAAGAAGCATGAATGCATGACCAGACATCTGTCTCTCATTGGTCTGCCTCTTTGGCATTTACAGACTTGCTGCTGTGGCCATAGAGGAAGGAGAAGGAGGAGGATGAGGAGGAGGAGATAGATGTAATCGAGAATTCAGAGATATTGGAAGACAGAATGATTGGCGCAGCTGCCTTTTTGATGTTGTGAGAGACTGAAAGAAGGGGGCACATGCTGCCTATAGGCTAATAAATATGGGAGGCGCTGTTTGGACTAGCAACAGCAAGACAAATCAAATGAAGGATATCAACAACAGCTTGGGGGAAAGAACAAGGAGCAGAAAAAACTGGAGTCCAAAGCTGCTTTGCCACTGACTAAATAAAGGGAATGCACATTTAAGATATATATTTCCTTAAACTAAAAGACAGCTAGCTGTTGGTTGTCTTTTTTATGTGCAGCAGCAATCAGATGCACAGCAGAGATGGACAGATCATTTCCTCTTTCCTGGGGAGCTGTTCTGAGAACAGAGGAGGGCGGTGGGGACTGTGTGTGTGTGTGTGTGTGTGTGTGTGTGTGTGTGTGTGTTTCCCCCTCAGCATTTCAGTTATCAAAAATCACACGGGCCGAGTTTGCGCTGCAGAAGCCGTTACCACGGCAACTGGAGAGCGAGCAGCTCTGGAGGCAG